GTCACTTATGTTTTTTATATAAATGTTCAGTGGAGTAGATTTGACTTAATAATCAATCATTATTAGCAGTTTCATGAGTGAACTTAAATGTATGTCGATTCTATAATATACATTATCCATAATTGTTTACAATATACACAAATTTGAATTGAAAAAATACTTTTAGATGTGTTTACAAATCTTCATATCCAACAAAATAAGGGGCAAATGTCCAATAATGATAGGTTTTGTCCAGATCCAAAGATATTATAGCATTATAAGGGTTTAATTCATGTGGGGGAGCTATGTAGGTAAAAAATATTTTTCGGGTAATAGATGAACTTTATGACCTTTTGAACCTGATGACCTTTTGAAGGTCATTCTAATGCAATTGGAGTTGTTAAAGAGGGTATGTTACTGTTGATATTCTGTAGATTAGAATTGATCGCAATGTAGAAATTTTAGCTTTGTTGTTTTGAGTCAAAATATTTTATACTGAATTGTATTGATGAGAAATTAAATTCTTGAAAAATTTGAATGAACTTCGCTTTTACTTTATGTCCTCGACTCCTTGTAAGTGTGAGATTTAACATTTGCCTAAACAATGTTAAATGGGTTAAAATGTCTACCTTTATAAGTAAGTATGTGAATATATAAGTTTATATAAATTATAGTCACAACCAGAAATCCACAAGACCAAGTGATTATTAAGGTCTTTGACTTCAGACCACTTACCTTTTCCTGCTGTGAGGTTTCAATACTGCAATGGACTTCAGAGTTTTCCATGTGAGTGAGCTATCAATTTTGCTTACAGAACATCTGTGAATCTACTCTGGTGTCCCTCATGTCTTAAGTAATGCACATGAATAGGTTTTGGACATACAAAAGTACACCTCTTGTACTTTCAGAGTTATGTCTCGGACAAAGTTCAAACTGCAATAATTCCAAAATTAGGCAAGGCACAGTTACTGTTCTTTGTACTGCACTTCTACTCAAAGTGATCTATCTACAAACTTAATTTCTTGTTGATACCTCTTGTAGTTTCACAGAAATGCCCCGGACAAAGTTCAAAAGTAAAATGGAAAAAAGGCAATAACTCCAAAAACAGAAAGGCAGAGTTACGTTTCTTTTGCATTGCATATCTTACACAATGAGATCTATCTACCTACAAAGTTTTATGTAAATATCTCTTATACTTTTAGAGTTATGTCCTGGACAAAGTTCAAAGTAAACAAAGCGCAATAACTCCCAAATAAGGAAAGGCAGAGTTATGGTTCTTTTGCACTGCACTTCTAGTTCTACCTACAAAGTTTCTTTTTAATACCCCTTGTGGTTTTAGAGTTGTCCCAGACAAAGTTCAGTGTACAAATAAACAAGGGCATTAAATCCAAAATTTGGCAAGTCAATTACGGTTCTTTTGCACTGCACATTTACCCAATGAGATCTATCTAAATGTACCTACAAAGTGTCTTGTTCATATCTTTTATTATAACTTTCAGAGATATGTCCTGGACAATGTTCAAAGTGTAAAAAGATAAAAGGGGAATAACTCCAAAATAAGGGAAAACAGAGTTATGGTTCTTTTGCAATGCACTTCTACCCAATGAGATCTATCTACCCACAAAGTTTCATGTTGATAAAGATTTATGTCCCGGACAAAGTTTGAAGTGAAAAAAATGAACAAAGGGCAATTACTCTAAAATTAGGCAAGGCAGAGTTATGGTTCTTTGGCACTGCACTCTGCCTCAATGCACGCTACCACTGTGTGCAGTTTAAACAAATTATGTCCAAGGGTTTTTAAGATATGCTCCAGACAAAACAGACAGACGGACAAGGTGGCAGCTATATGCACTTCCTTTGCGGAGCAAAAAAAAAAACCCATAAGGTGCCCCTCACGTCTTAATAATGCACAGAGAGGCACCAGAGATCTTCCTCCAATAGTAAAGCTAGAAAGTTACAGTGTTGGTGCAACTTAAAACTGGACCAAAAAGGAAAAAGAAACCTATAACTGTGATTCACTCAAAAAAGATTCTTAGTAACTTTATTGCCTGACATCAAGACTCATCAAATATCAAATTATTGGGATAAAAACAAGACCAAGTATTTCATTAAATTATTTTTTATTATCAAAAAAATCTGAAGAAAATAAAATAAATAACAAAATATATACACTGTGTTAGTCATTATACAGTAACAATGCAATGCAAACGTTATAAATTATTGTTTAATCAACTGCACTTTGTCATGATAAGCAGGTACTTACAGTTTCATATATGATTGAATAATGGGCTACATTGTACATAAAGGCTTTACCACATGACGAGGAGACAGCAATCATAATACTAGTAGCTAATCTTAATCTTCAAAATAATGACCATACATGTATTGGTAGCTAGATTTAATCATGGTTTTGTTGTGGTTACCTTTTTTTTATAAGTGTTACCAAATCGAGTTCTTGGATTTTGAATAATGCACAGAGAAATCAGATTCTCATTTATAAAATCTTGAAAGTCTGTTGGCCCCGAGTGATACAATACAAACGCATTTGTATTTAAAGTACATGTACATCTTAATGATCAACATATTTTCACGCTGATAAAAATATTTTTTCAAAAATATCTTCTGTAGGCCCAAGTAATAGGTTACAATGCATTTTTTTTAAAAGTGCATGTTGATCTATATGACATTTATAATTTCATGCTGACTAACATATTTTGCAAAAAAAATCTTCTGTAAGTTCTGTAGGTTCAAGTGATGAGTACCTCTGTACTTTAAGTACAAGTTGATCTTGTACATGAGTTTTATAATGAATTCTATGGCAAGAAATTGCTAAAAACCAGTACAGAGCCTGGGAACCAGTACAGAGCCAGGGAACCAGTACAGCACCAGACTTATGCCCACATCCACAAGATCTGGTTTTACTTAAAACTGTCAGCTAATATATTACACAGTAATAATGTACTAACGTATCATAACTAATCATATTAACAAGATATCTTTATACTATGTTTGCATCTATTGAAATTATAAATTCAGCTTTTACAGTTAACTGTATTATTACAGACATTTGTCGTTATATCTATCTTAATTTACATTTCTGTTCACAAAATTAGCAAAACATGATTGTTTATAAAGATAAACATGTCATTCTAGTCAGTAAAAAGTTATATACTCTTTTTCTAATTCCTAAATCTAAACTAACTAAATACATGTCTTAGTAAACAACTAAATGAAGTAATGAATACAAAAACTTATGACATGAAATGAAATAAACCCTGTTAGTAAAATATCATTATAAAAAGAAAATCTGATTCACATAAAAACAAATATAAATGGCTGTTAAAGGATGTTCTAACCTTTGTCCATGAAACATAATGGCTTTTAGAATAAATTTTGATACAAGACACTTTATTAAGATATCAAGTTGAAGTACATTATTTTTGGCATATGACAACATATCAAAGCTAGGCCAGCCTTCATATCCATCAAGACTAATGTTGACAGCTGAATTTCAGTAAATGAATTTTTTCATTTTCAAAATCTGTAATATTGACAATTATCTGAATTTTAAACAAAACAATTTACATCAGTGGAGAATGGATAAATTCATAGTTGATACTGTGATGCTCCTTCCTTTTTAAAATTGTATAAAATTTATTATGGGCTATAAAAATGATTCCCTTAAACCATATATTCAAGGATAAAGGTTAGGTCAACCTTTACTTGGTCTGGCATGAATAGGCAAGAAGACCTAACTTGATTTAACACATAGGAAGGTCAGAACTAACTTGGTTCTACGCAAGAAAATGTCAGGAGGGCCTAATTCACCTGGTTCTTCACAAAGAAAAAGGTCTGGAGGTCCTAACTTACTTAGTTCAATACCTGAAAATGGCAGTGATATAACAAACTAACAGTACAAACCAAAAACAATACAATACATGCATGAGGTAAATCAAACAGACACAACATTTGCACCAATACAAGTTTTGATTGTTAAAATAATATCAATGGGTGAAATAATCATTAATGCTTAAAAGGCATGTCTATAAGAAAAAAACTAGTGAAGTATATTTGATCAGACAGTACAAACCCCTCCCCCCCCCACCCAACTCAGATCATTTTTCTCTCTCCAGAAATAGGATATTGAAAATAATTGTCTTGTATTCAAAGTAAAAGAACAAACTTATGAATGATATTTTATAATTACCCATTTTTTTAATCTTAAATTGTATGTGTCAAATGTTTAAGAAAGAAACATTTAAGAAATTTTTTGCAGTCATGAGTATGAAAATCTAATTACATTGCTCTGGTTGTAACAAACACAAAATGCTTGGAATTATGGACATAATCTGCACATAATCTGGGTTTAACCTTGGTATAATCTGAATTCAACCTAAACATAATATGGGTTTAACCTGGGCATTATCTAGATTCAACTTGGACACAATTTAGGTTTTCCCTGCACATAATCTGGGTTTAACCATGAAAACATGGCCATTATTGACATAATTATACAACTTTTTGCTATTTAGCTATCAGTTAACTCATAATCTAAGTAATTATAACAAGTTATTAGAAATGATGTTGATGACATTTTGATTGACAGAACACATTGCACATTACATTGTAAATGCTATGTAAACAAAAAATGCATAAATATTTCAGTAAAAAAATTAAGTTAACTGAAAGTATATAAACATCAAGACAATTTTAAAAATCTCTACAGGGAAGTGTGCATACATGTATATTCATATTGAAAAAATTTTGATATGTTCTTTTCAGTGTTTTTTCCCTTTTTTTTCCAAAAAAATTTTTGAAATTTTAGTTTTGGGGTTCAGAAACAAATTTTGTTTTTTTAAAAAAAAAAAAGGAATAACCCTTAAAAAAATTAACCTAAAGGGAAAAAGCTTTTTTTTTTTGGTTTAAAAAGGGGGCTTTTTTTTAGCTGTTCTTTGGGCCCCTTTCCCTTTCAACCCAAAAGGGGAAAAATCTTTGGGTTTCCCCCCCAAAAACGGGCCCTAGTGGGGTCAAAAACATGATTGCTCATATGACACCAGTACTGGTTGGCTCCAGGAAGCAAACTCGAAAATGATCAATATATGTTGCAAAACCTTGTTTTGCAATCAAGCTAAAATAAATATGTTTAAAGTTAAACCTTTAACCTGCTTGAAATGAAAGTGATCAACCTTTGCCACCAGTATAAAGCCAGGACAGTCTGTACCTCCCATACAGTCTGTCCAGGCTCTATATTGTTGGCTGGCTAATAACTACTTCATCTTGATATCCCCAAATTGGGAATGTACAGTTCCATAAATGGAAGCTGGACAAGTCCATTTAAGAAATTAAAGGTTAAGTAAAAAAAAATATGGTTATCACAACACGCAGGTACTTGTTTTATGATCATTATGTATTACTGAAGGTTTTATAATATGTTCAACTATCAAAAAAAAATCTTCAGCACAAAAAAAATGCTTAATAAACAAAAATTTACAATCCATGAAATAAAAAATAGCACAATTCAATAAAAGAAGAGACAAATCAAGGATTGATTGCAAAACTGTTGTAAGTCCTTATTTATTCCATATAAGTTACTACAGTTTTGCAGTCAACAGTTAAATTGCTGTATGAACAATTCATTGAAACGGTCTCCATTCCGATTGTCATTATACAGTATTTCTAGTTCCTAATTATCGTATATATCAAGCTCAAAATATTCTAAACATCATCGATCTCTTTATAAAACAGTTGTAACTTTTAACAGTAATAACTATTTGACCAAGAAAAACAATTAAATTTCATAAACATATGCGAAAGTTTATATCCAATAAAATTTTTTTTTGTTTTTTTTTGTGTCACCTATACGGAGTAGTGGCGACATATAGGGATCACGTTTCTGTCGTCTGTCTGTCCGTCCGTCACAAAACTTGTCCAGACTACTCCTCATAAACTACTTGTGCAATTTCATCCAAACTTTACAGGAATGATCAGTACCAAGTCTAGTTGTGCATATTGTCAGCATTTTCCGGTTCAATGATTTTTGTAAGAGTTATGGCCCTTTAATAATTTTTATTTTTAAAGTTTGTCCTGACTACTTCTCTTATACCACTAATGCAATTTCAATGAAACTTTACAGGATTGATCTGTAGCTCAAGTCCTTGCGCATATTGCACGGGTTTTCCGGTTAATTGATTTTTGGCTAAGTTATGGCCCTTTGATAAAAAGGTTGTTTTTTTCTGTGTGTTGCCAGATACACAAAAGCTTGTCCGGACTACTCCTCATGAACTACTGGTGCAATTTTATCCAAACTTTACAGGAATGATCAGTAACAAGTCTAGTTGTGCACTGTCTGTCTGTCCGTCTGTCACAAAACTTGTCCCCACTACTCCTCATAAACTACTGGGGCAATTTCATCCTAACTTTACAGGAATTCATGTCGCCACTACTCCGATCACTTCTCCGTCTGTCACAAAACTTGTCCCAACATGAAATTGGCCATCATGAGGCGACACATGTGATCACTGATCGCTCTTGTTTTCATTTAGGGTACTGAATCTGTTAAACTGACACAAAAGCTTGAAGTGACATGCTATATGAAAGAGACTAAAATATTTCCTTACATATTTATCTATCTTCTGATTTTATAAGGTTTAGATTTTATAAGGATATAACATAACCTGCCCGCTTTTAGTCGCTTTATCATAAGTTTACAATCATCACTCTTTCAGTTTAGGTAATTTGGTATAACTTTTATAAAAAATAAACATTTATTGTTCTGACAACCCCAGTAGCATTTAATCTTCTAAAACATAATACCTTTTTGTTTTTACAACAATGAGTAACTGAAAAAATACCAGTGTATAATATAAACTATCACAGAATTTGTTCACTCTATAAATAAAACTACAGTAACAATAATCATGCTATCGTTTGTGTTTTTTAATGGCTGTTTCGGAGTTAGATTTCAGAGATTCTATATGGCTATCTATAATACTCTCAAGCTGTCGCGTACGTTCCTGCTCCTGTACGAGAAATTTCTCCGACGCCGATTCCCCAATAGCTGGCATCTGAAACATAATTAAACATGTTTTAACTGATAATCTACTTGGATCAAAAGCAATTCCCACAAAATTATACGGTTAGGCCAGCCTGCACATCCGTGCAATGTGACCAGGCTTTCTACTGCTGGTAGCTCAATTTTTGTTTACTGGTATCAATATCTCTTTAAATCTTGAATGAAATGCTCCAAGTATGTAAAAACAGAGCAAATTCATTAAAAAAATTCAGTGGGTTACATTTCAACTTCTACACATTCCATTCAAACATAGGTAATGTAAAATGGTGAGTTTCAGCTTATGTGATAAAGAAAATTACAGGTGCTTTTCTGTGCAGTATTTCAGGCTTCCAGAGCAGGCTAAGTAATAACATTTGTACAACCATCAATCTTCCTTAACACTCATTTTTGGCTTCACAGTTATCCCTTTATTAACTAAGATCTTTTAGAATGTTTAAGTCATAGGTCCAAAACAGTGAATCACAATTAACATCTAGAAGATATACTCGGGGTTCAAGTAAATACCTTTTATGTTTAAAGAAATTTGAATATATACTTAAACCCTTCCGTAGATTTAACATTAAGGCGTATGCCAACACACAGGTGAATAGGATAGCCTATTAAATAACTATTAAATATTCTGAAAGGGTGAGCTAAAAATCATTCAAGACAAATTTCTTACTGTTAGATGGATAAAATCATTACCTCATACATAAGTTCATTTTCAGAATCAGCAAGAGACATGTCTTCATTTATATACATAACACCGTCGTCATCTTCTTCTATCACAATGTTATCTCGTCGAAATGAAGCTGTAATGAAAACAAACACTGCATGTCGTTGTTTCAAACAAAGTATTAATCATATCACTTTAAAGTCTTATTTAAAACAACATCCTCGAGAGCTATTTATATCATGTTAGAGACATTCTTTTCTAAAAATAGACGATCGACAACAATTCATCAGTTTTACTAATTTATATATAACTAGCAGACTGGTAGATTTGAGGTATGAAGGTGTTTCCTCATTGTTAATGTATTTTGATGTTGGCAAACTTCACTTTCCAACATAATTCTTTTGATTTAATTATATGAAACGATTTATCTAAAAACAACATATTAATTTTTTAGAAAATCTGAAGGCCACTCTAAAGTATAATGTTTTTACAGCTGTCACACCCGTTAGACTTCAACATAGGCAGAAAAATATGACAATCTAAATTTAAGGTGACGCAATCATCATTTCAACATGCAAAAAGGTTTTTGATAAGGATCTGAGGTTTCAGATCATAGTCAGCAATCTTTAACATTCAGCTATACAGGTTCTGAACCCATAAGTGTCTTGTAATATCAAACTGTTTTAAAAAAAAAAGAAAAAAAAACAATGTTTATTACGTACAGCCAGCTCTTCTTTCATTTTCAAGATCATCTTCTAGGCGTGTCTTCTGTCTCCGTAGCAACTGTAACTGCTCCTCGTAACGATTTATAGTTGAGTCCAGTCTATCCTGTAACATGCTTACCCGTCTATCTGAGTCTTCTTCTATCTCATGTATTCTCCTATAATGTTTATTTAATATTAAAATTACGGAAATCTGACACACAAGTAAATTTAAGAATGTATTAAAAAATTAACTTTATTCAAGCTTATATTCAACAACTAAATAGGGAGAGCATCAGATTAGTAATCAAGGGGTCGTTAGTTTGATCCTATGATTGTACATGTATCATAATATATTCCTAGGGTGATTTTACCATACAAATATTCACAATATTTTCATGTATAAAGCAAAGAAAGTTTTCAATCCATTATAAGAAATGCATCAAATCACTTTATAAACTTACCTTTGTTCTCGGGTCATCTCCTCAGCATGTGATAGTTCAGTTTCGTGTACTGTACGTTGTAACTGCTGGTCGTACTGGTCCTCCATGGTGGAGACATCTTGTTGTAATATGCTGACCTCGTCCTTCAGTGACCTATTCTCCTTCTGTCGAGACAAAATATCACAGTACGGTAATACTGTCATACTAAATAAAATTTTATTAACCTGTACAGTACTGAATTCATGTAATAGTCTTACCCTACTAAATTCATGTATCATAACCCAAGTTAATTTTTTCCCCTTTGGTTGGATTTTATGTCACACCAACAAAGTAAAGGTCATATGGCAACTTTCCAGCTTTATTGAAGGAAGACCTCAGGGGGCCGTTTTATCAACGTGTCGTAGTCTACGACAATTTTTTGTCGGTGCCGTACGTCTGCGACAACGTCGTACGACCGTTTTATGAAACGTGTCGCAGACGTTGTGTTTCTGCGACGTCGCAGCCTTTGTCGTAGACAATAATTCTTGCGAGACACAGTCTAGCCAGTGCGCGTTTTGACGTCACATATGAAATCAAAGTACTTAAAGTACTGATGGAATTTACATGACTATTATCAAACGGATAAATTTACATGATTATTAGAAAATGGATAAATATTTTTTAATGTCATTAAAAGAACAAATTTAGTGAGAAATACAGCATATATTTTCTGCACTCGATTCAACCCTTAAAATACTAAATCACGCTACGGTTCCACCATTAATGCCGGGTCTGTACTGAATGCTAAAGGCACATTATGTCTCAGTCTAATCAAGTTTCTGAACACGGGTTTTATAACCTTTAAAATAACTTTTTCAAAGCATGCAGCCGCTTATGACTTGAAGCGGTGAATGTAAAATTATTAACCAAAAATGTCAACAAAGTAGTATTTGACTTTTATACAAAATACTATATAACTATCACAACTAAATTGCCAAAAATTAACAGACGCAAAAGATGGAAACGACCGATCAGCCACTTTTGGAAATTAAAACAGAAAACTAAAAATCAAAAGCATTTTTAAGAAACGCCAAAAAGTATGTTAATAGTACTTAAATAGTAAATTAAAATTTAAATAGCACCGGGCTTTTCAAGTGTATCGTGTGGCGATCAATCGGAATGTCACGGCTATTATCTATAATAACATCGGAGTTAATACGGATTGAAAGTAGTTACACCACGTAAGGAATACGCACATTTCAACTGATTTTAACGAGATAAGGTGCAGAGTACCCGTGACTATATAAGCTACCCACAGTATATAAAAACTAAAAAAATAATAACCTGAAAGCATTCGAGTATAGCCATTTTAAATAGTATTTCCGAGAAATACGGTACAGACTCGAATATATGAACAAGCGAATAACTAGTCCCTTGTTTTTCTAGTTGTTTGAAACAAAAAATATAATATACATCATTACATGTATAGTATAGATATACCATTGCCAATGCATCGAAATAATAAATTGCTGTTTTGATTTTTTTGTTTATTTCGTTTTTAATTGAAACGGAACACGCTGTTTTGTATTCTGTTCCTATTTGCAATCTTAATGAAATATTTCTATTTAAGTATCATGTATATTTATTTGTTAGTGTTTTTTCAGAATTATATTAATTGTTTAAAGGTATTTATACATATATTTCATGTAGTATTCTAAAAAATCCCCTACTCCCGGCATTGTAAATACAGTTCGGGTACTATATTTTTTCAAGTCTTAAAAAGAATTGAAATACATAACTGGAGAGGTCACGAGACCTCTTCACAGTGTTCAGACCTATTGCTGGCGGCATCCATTTTTGCGTATCTGATTGTAGTGAATGAATCTCATTAGGAGCAGTCTACAAAAATGGTTTTGCGCATGCTCCGTTTCAAAATTCGACTTAACTTTAACGAAAAATAAACATCGAAGTAAACAAATCGGTACGTAGAAAAACGGAAAATTTCATTTACGTCACTTAAAGCTACGTGGATGTGTCATTCCGTTTTAATCTTTTTAATTGTATAAATCAATTACCGTATTGTTTTCTGAATAGCGTTTTACTATTTCATATTCCGATAAATAGTAACAGTGAACATAACAGGTACAATATCATCATTCAATATGACCAAGAGAATCGTGTACCGAAATTTTGCTGCTCCTTAAACTTTTGAATATGTACGACTTAATAACGCAACGGAGATTTTTTTTTGCGCAAATGGCACAAATTTTACTCAAGATTTTCCTCAAATATCAATTGTGGTTGGAGGCATGCAGCTTTATATACTGTTTATTCCAATCAAATGATATAAACATTTTTATGTAAATTATGGGACTTAAAATTGATTAACATACTTTATGCCCGTTTTGGAAAATGTAGAGGAAATGTTTCCGTATACTACGGAATGCCGTTAGGGCCATTGCCTATGGATGTGTTGATCTGAAACGCGATAGTCGATAGTACGATGGTGAAAACGCGAAATCACGAAACTACGATGGTGAAAATGCGAAAGCATGATGATGAAAACGCGAAAGAACGATGATGAAAACGCGACAGTACGATACTACGATGATGAAAGCGCGATAAACTATCGTGTTTTCACCATCGTACTGTCGCGTTTTCACCATCGTATTTTCGTGATTTCGCGTTTTCATCATCGTACTGTCGTGTTTTCATCATCGTACTATCGCGTTTTCACCATCGTACTATCGTGTTTTCACCATCGTACTATCGCGTTTTCATCATCGTACTGTCGTGTTTTCATCATCGTACTATCGCGTTTTCACCATCGTACTGTTGTGATTTCATCATCGTACTATCGCGTTTTCATCATCGTACTATCGCGTTTTCACCATCGTAGTTTCGGGATTTCGTGTTTTCACCATCGTACTATCGACTATCGCGTTTCAGATTAACACATTCATAGGCGATGGCCCTAACGGCATTCCGGAATACTCGACAGTACGATGATGAAAACGCGAAATCACGAAACTACGATGGTGAAAACGCGACAGTACGATGGTGAAAACACGATAGTTTATCGCGCTTTCATCATCGTAGTATCGTACTGTCGCGATTTCATCATCGTACTATCGCGTTTTCATCATCGTGCTTTCGCGTTTTCACCATCGTAGTTTCGTGATTTCGCGTTTTCACCATCGTACTATCGACTATCGCTTTTTAGATCAACACATTCATAGGCGTCGGCCCTAACGGCATTCCGTAGTATACTAACCAAAACATTAACCGAAAATGTGCTTATTGAATTTTACAAGACACTTTTATTTTTGATACTACTTTTAATATAAATATATACATGTGTTTATCATTTATTTTAAATTTTGTTTGATGGCATAACACAAATTATTTTCTTTGTAGAAAAAGTATCGCTTAAAGTATCTCCGGCATATAATCTTTCAAAACATTTTTAAACAAGAGCTGTCGGTAGGACAGCATGCTCGACTATTCTTAGTGCTTGATAGTAAAAAAAATGCCTGATACAGTTACCTCCTCCTGTTTACAGGTTGGGGACATGATGGTGAACAAGTGTGCAAAGTTTCAAAGCCATATGTCAATGGCTTTTGAAAATATTTGAACTATTACAAAAACTTTAACGTAAATTCTAAGTCGAAAAAGGGGCATAATTCTGTCAAAATGCTTGATAGAGTTACCTCCTCCTGTTTACAGGTTGGGGTCATGATGTTGAACAAGTGTGCAAAGTTTCAAAGCCATATGTCAATGGACTTTGAAAATATTTGAACTATTACAAAAACTTTAACGTAAATTCTAAGTCGAAAAAGGGGCATAATTCTGTCAAAATGCTTAATAGAGTTACCTCCTGCTGTCTACAGGGTGGGGTCATGATGTTGAACAAGTGTGCAAAGTTTCAAAGCCATATGTCTATGGACTTTGAAAATATTTGAACTATTACAAAAACTTTAACGTAAATTCTAAGTCGAAAAAAGGGGCATAATTCTGTCAAAATGCTTGATAGAGTTACCTCCTCCTGTCTACAGGTTGGGGTCATGATGGTGAACAAGTGTGCAAAGTTTCAAAGCCATATGTCAATGGACTTTGAAAATATTTGAACTATTACAAAAACTTTAACGTAAATTCTAAGTCGAAAAAGGGGCATAATTCTGTCAAAATACTTGATAGAGTTACCTCCTCCTGTCTACAGGTTGGGGTCATGATGGTGAACAAGTGTGCAAAGTTTCAAAGCCATATGTCAATGGACTTTGAAAATATTTGAACTATTACAAAAACTTTAACGTAAATTCTAAGTCGAAAAAGGGGCATAATTCTGTCAAAATGCTTGATAGAGTTACCTCCTCCTGTCTACAGGTTGGGGTCATGATGGTGAACAAGTGTGCAAAGTTTCAAAGCCATATGTCAATGGACTTTGAAAATATTTGAACTATTACAAAAACTTTAACATAAGTGGTTACGCCGACGCCGACGCCGACGCTCGGGTGACTGCAATAGCTCTACTTATTCTTATCGAATAGTCGAGCTAAAAATGAAGTGTAAAACAAACTTTCATTATGACACTATATAATAATAAAGTCTATTTTGTTAAATAATTGTAATTAATAACCATTCATTGTGTCTTTTATGCAAAAAATATCCCCAAATATTTTCGAATTACACAAATCTCTCACAGCAGCAAAAAGACCTCACGCATGCTTCTTTTTAAAGAAGCAAACTTGTCATGCAGTTTTTGCAGACTTACATTTTTGTTTTGCCTGTATTTCTAAAGAAAGTAGTTGTGAATGTGAAAGTATTAAAATTGTTACTGTAGCAAAATTTTGACTTTCATACAAATTACTAAATCATTAACACCGTTCTTGATTGGCAAAAATTAACAGAAGCAAACGTTAGTTCAGGTTAATGATAATGGAAATAAAAATAATAAAGAAAAATAAAAATAAAAAAATATAAATAAAAAGCTTTACAAAATAAAAGCATTTCTAGGGCTTTATGGGCCTTTATGAAAGGATTTTTGCGCGTTAGAAACAATTGTAGCTGCTTTTTTTAGAAACGCCAAAATTGTGTTTAAAGTACTAGCTATCATGATAAAACCAATGATTTGTACATATGATTTACTTAAATGGCACCCAATGTACTTTTTTGTAGTATGAAGTGTGGCGCACATTTTTACCCATTTTCCGAGGAATTCAGTACACACAAGATTTCAAACTAGTTCTGTTCCTTCTCGTTGTTTGAAATAAATATATATATTTAATCTTATAGATTTACCATTGCTAAAGTATTGAAATAATAAATTGATGTTTTGACATATTTTCGTAAAGTTATATTAAGCGCACTGCTTTTAAGTTGAAACGCCCCACGCTGTTTTTGTTGTAATTTATATGCAATAATTCACTTTTTTGTTGTTGTTTTAGTTATTGCGTTTTTTTTACGGAAAGCGGATTAATTTTTCTCATAGATTAGCCTGGGTTCCAATCTGTCGATTTTTTATGTGCTTCTTGTCGGCAAATTGACATAATTGAGCCGCGTCATGACAAAACCAACATAGTGAGATTGCGACCAGCATGGCTCCTGACCAGCCTGCACCTCCGCGCAGTCTGATCATGATCCATGCTGTTCGCTTACAAACCATATAACAAGTAGAGAAACTGAGAGCGAACAACATGGATCCTGATCAGACTACGCGATTGCGCAGGCTGGTTTGGATCCATGCTGGTCGCAAAACCCATTATGTTGGTTTTGTCATGACGCGGCTCATATATTGATACTATCAAAACAGTATTAAATAGCGCGTAAGTTATGAATAAGCAAAAAATATATCAACGCATGAATCACAGGCTACTCATACATATATATACGTATATATCATGTAGTTGTAGTATACTAAATAACTCCCCTTCCGGAATTGCAATTTACGTAGTTACAGTTCGGATTCTAGATTTTTTTTAAAGATTTAAAATGAATAATTAATACACCATGCAAATTGTGCAGACTGTGCAGACTGAATTATTATATGTACACTGTATATTGCAGTTTATCATAAAATTTGATAATTTAAACATTAGTGCTTTTCATCCACGGTAACTTTTAGTTAATGTCGCCTTGTCTTGTTGATCTTTTTTATATTCTATTGACTATTTTTTTTCTCTTTTTAAAATTGTTTTTCCGGAGTCATGACCACGGTAACTTTCCTGTGTCCTTTATTTTATACCATATGGGTTTCTTCAAAGAAATATCTAAATTTATGTAAAATCTAGTTAAAATATTATGATTTTTCCAATATTAATGTGAAATAAAAAAGAGTTAATTCATGTTTTATTCTATTTTCCGAAGACATCTTTGGAATATTATAAATAGAATAGAGTATGGCCGTAAAGGCATATTTGCTCCAAACGAACGATATTTTAGACATTTTTATAGGGTATAAGATTAGTATATTCTGTCTCTTTCTTATACTAAGAGCGCATGTATAAAGTCCCTTTATAAACGATTGACATTAAAAGAAAACAAATTGAAATATGTTGTTTGTTTTTTTTTTATTCTGAAAAAGTTATTTTATAAAAATTAATGTGCTGAGCATGTATACATGTAAACAGTGATCGCCAGTCTTGACGTTACAGTTACGTCGTACGACAGCCCTAACCCTGTCGTAGAGCTGCGACATTTTTTACGACGTCGTAGGCTACGACAAACGTTAATAAAACGGTCTTAACGTTCTGCGACATGTCTGCGACAAAAAACTAGCCTACGACGTGTCGTAGAGCGTTGATAAAACGGCCCCCAGGTGCCCTTCAATGCATCATTTCAGGCACCTGAATAGAACCACAACATTCCTCAAGCTTACATGGATAGCTTCCTCATATGAATTCAAAGTCTCTGTCAGGATTCAAACCCACAACTGTGAGGGGCAAATGGTTTGAAGTCAACAACCTTTACCACTCGACCACGGATGACTGGTTTTTTCACCAATTATAATACATTTTTTCATCATAACAACAGTCTGTTGAGACAGCAGAGATGTGAAAAATGGCTTGGGTCTATAGTGGTGACATAGGCAATTCAATATTTAAAATTGGTCTTCTAGTTGCAAATGAATTTATCAATGCCTTCTGTGCAGACCAGTTGGCACATTCATGTCATCTGATCCATGGTCTGCACTGTTTGCTTATTAGTCAGCATTTAATTTGAAATTTTCTATAAAAATGATGAATGGGTTTGTATAGACTGAAGAAATGGACGAATCCATTTAAGATTTTTAGTATTGTAAGAGTTAACATACCTCGAGAGCTTTCATTTTACTGTGATACTGGTCTTGTATTTCTCTAAGCTGAGTTTCAGTCTCGGTGTGGTCAAGGTTCACTTGTGTTTGCTGTATAATTGTCTGTCGAAGATGACGATTCTCTAATCTTAGTGCATCTATCTGTGCATTAGCTACCTAAATATACAATAGTTGATATATTGTTAACAGGGCATTAGAGAATAGGCCCTCCTTTCACTTAAATTTAGTGGAAAAAAACATATGATATTTACAAAATGGAATAAATCTTTTTTTTTGAAAATTTCATGATATGAGAGAAAGATGCCTGTAAACACACTAAACTGCCCCATCATTCACTAACGCTGTTTTTCATAATCATTTTAATTCTGCAAAAAAGGAAAGCATTTGAATGCTTTTGACTCAAATAAGGCTAAGCTCCACACAAAAATCAACTTTTTATTCTGGGTTTATTTCTTTATCATCTTCTGACTTTTTTATCTTTTTTTTTCATTTTAAGTGCAAAAGTTGATCTAAGCAGAATTTCGGTTTTCAAGTTTCTATGTTTTTGGACCTCAGTAAAACTGCAGTTGAGCTCCTTTAAGTGAAATGACAAACTTCCAGAATTAACAATAAAGGAAGCTCACAAAGTGTCCCTTTGTGTGATATTCCAGGCAAAAGCAGGCATTTAAGTAGAACCAATGACATTAAATAAGCTAGTTGGACAGTTTATTTACATAAAATAATTTTACAAAACTTCCCTTTAAAACAAACAGTCATGAGGACAATTAAGTGTCTGAATTTAGTTGTTGTTGTTGTGTTTTGCTTTTTTGTTGTTGTTTTTTATGGGTGGGTGGGGGGAATAAAGATCTATTTTAAAACATGGAGAATGTATTGTTATGTCATATACTGATAATACTAGAGTATACAAACCTTAAGTTCAGCATCTCTTTTTTTCACTTCCTCTTCCTCAGTCTTCAGTTTTCTTTCCAGATTACCTGATTTTTCTTTAAGACCCAAGAAGTTATTGGAGTTACCATGTAGCTCTTCTGTAACCTACGAAGATACAAAAATTATTTACAAATTGAAAGAATATCTTGAATATTTGACAATGTTTTTAAAAGGATATAATATTCTGGCAGTAGCAAATGCTGACAGATAGGCCCTAAGTCCCAAATCAGTGACAAGTATGTTTTATCTGATTGAAATGAGCATTTATAATGTCTTAACTCTGGCCTGCACTGATTTATTCAATACTTTTCAATTCCAGTAAAATACTTCTATTTGACAATAGTTGTTTTTGTTTTGTTTTTTTGCTTGATTTTGTTATATTATAAGCCACTTGAAACATTATTTCAGGTACAAGCTGGCACCTGTGTAGAACCACCAACCTTCTGTAAGCTAGCTGAACAGTTTTCTCACATTAAAAGAATTCAAAGTTCCTGGCAGGATTCAAACCTACAGCCTTGAAAAACAAGTGGCTTGAAGTTAACAGCCTTAACCACCCGACCATAGACATCCCTGTACAATAAAGTGATTCATCTGTTAAACTTCACATAAGTACCAGGAATTGAGTAATGCTCAGATAAATAAAGGTATATAAAGTTACCCTGGCAAGTTGATCCTTCATTCCATTCACTTCAGCCTCATGACTTGCACTTAATGAACTTAGCTTTGCCTGTGCCTGAGTCAACTGTGACTTTACTTGAGACAGTTCATCCTCCAACCTCAGGATGTCAGATTTCTGAAATTCAAGAAATACGTAATTACTAATTTAGGATAAACTGTCTTTTTCTTTTAATTTAATCTATTACAATTGATTTTAAACAGTTGGAAGTTAAAATTGAGTAAAACAGTGTGATGAACCTTAAATTTATGTTAAAAAGGTCATAATCTCAAATCAAGTGGTAGCTTGAAAAAGTGTGTGAAATTTAAACTGATTTGCTTCAGTAGTTTTGGAGATACCAACTTGCAGACAAAAAATAAACCTAAGCATGATGCTGATGCCAACTTTAGGGTGAGTACAACAGCTGTCCCTATTGTTTGAATAGTCAAGCTAAAAATGAGAAAATAAAGGCATTAAGTCTGGTATTTTTTAGTTAAGCTGGGTGACTTCCTCACACAACAAGTTAATTATATATGCCATCCCTCATAAACTTGGAACCAAATAAAAGAGACAGCATGTTTTTCAAGGTCAGAAACCATACCAACTAGGCCTTAGACTAGGCCTTAATTTAAAGCCTCTAGTCTAGGTTGTTTCCGTAAGGATAAACAAAATTATGCAAAAAGGGAAGCCAAAATCTCACTTATTTTTTTTTTAATTATTGATGAAAACGGATATCACAAACATAGCATTTTTGAAGACAATTAAATATTAACTTTTTTAACAATTCATATTTGTATGGGTTAATAAGGAAATCATTTTCAGAAATATATTGCATATAATTTGCATTGACAAGAAAAGAATGCATGCATATACCTGCCTTCATGCAAAAAATACTCCATAAATTATCATTAGTTCATCTTCATAAAAGTATGTTTAATTTATATTCACATTTACTTCAATCAATACTAAAACTCACTGCCATCTATATTCACACTTATTTCCATCTATACTATAACTTATTTCTATCTTTATTCACACTAAAGTGACTTATATTTCCATGACTATCTATACTTAAGTTTATTTCTAACTTTATTCACACGTTATTCCATCAATACTAAAACTTATTTCTATCTTTATTCACACTTATTTCCATCAATACTGAAACTGATTGCAATCTATATTCACACTTATTTCCATCTACACACACTAATACATATAAGTTTTCTTTTAACTTCTTACTCTGCAAGAAAAAAGTTATTTTTATAACATAATATTTCTATAAGATCACAAGCATGTTAGGCATGCTCAAAACTGAAAGCTTGTCCTGGTGAAGTCCTGGTAATATTGAAGCCTGCAATACTGGTTGCAATGATTTAACCATTCTGTAATACTAGGGGTTCCAGGGGGGGGGGGGGTGACATGACAAAGAGACCTGGCTTGTAACATTTCATATAGTAACAACACTGTACATGCATGTACTAACTTTCAGAGTTTTACAACTGGAGAAAAGATACAAGATGCTTTCGAATGTAGTAATATATGTCAGGCTAGAGCACGATCATTTCACAATAAAAGCTAGCATAACAGGTATATGTATGCCAAGGAATAATTCACATGGATTATCTGGCATTATATTCCTTATAAATGAATAAAGGATTTACATTTAGCTAACAGACACATGTTTATAAACATAGGTAAAAGCTTTTGAACATGAAGATATTAAGTTGAATAAAGCAACATGTATATCACTAAAATCCATACTTGCAAATTAAAATCGGCACAGAACAAAAATTTTAAATTCTGCAATTTACATTCTGACACATGTCAACAGTCATTACAAATGTTATGCTTATGTTAAGATAATACAAACTTTTTTCCAAGTCATTATATAATATATAGACTCTAAATTGATATAAAAATCTGTTATGAAAATTTTGCTGTCTGGTTGTTTTTACACTGATTTTAACATATTTCTGATCATAACTCGGATCTCATTCATGAGTCGTAAGAGACAAACAACCATTAGACTTAATGTCAAAGATTGTCACTAAAAAATTTCACCTTGCCCAAGCTGATAGCGAACAGCATGGATCCTGATCAGACTGTGCAGATGCGTAGACTGGTCTGGATCCATGCTGGTCGCAAACGCACTATGTTGGTTTTGTCGTGACGCGGCTCATTTAGTGTACTTACATATGAAAAAAAAAGAGAAATATTCATTGTACTTGAGAAAAATTACTATTGTCTAATATGTCGCATAAAATAAATAAGTAAAAAAAATCTTAAAATTGCATCTTTTAAAAAAAATAATCATACAATTATATTATGCCAAAGCCCATAAAAATAAATAGAAACTGTTATTAAAAAATATTATATATAAAAAAAACTGTCACCACAAATTTTTTCCATGTTTATAAATCTATACCTTCAATAAATATAGTTATTTTTGAAGTATAAAATATTTGATATTATCAATTAACACCAGTATAAGCATCAATCCATTCCTATAAATAACATACAATATGCTGCAAGGAGACGTTAACATTACATTTATACCAGCATGTAAAGAATGCTATTAAACTCAATCTCTCCCTCAATGATCATTCAAAACAGCAACAAAAGTGACCCTTACTGAATTCTGAAATTTGAAAATGTCTTCTCATGCACTGTATTTTGAACTGTTCATTGTTTTTGTGGGTTTTTTCTGTTGTTTTTGTTTTGTTTTAGTGGAATTCAGTATAAATGATAATAATAATCAACAGCCAACAGTAAAGAGCCTGATCAGGGTGCCCTGTTGTGAAATGACCTGACCCCTACAATACAGGTGGTAATGCAAAGCCATAATTGTTACTGCTAGTGAACTAAACGTTCAGATTTTGGTTTAAGTCTCAATATGAAAATTCTTTTTCTATTACAAATACTAAGAAGTGCAAATGGGCATTTTTGTTGACAACAAGTAAAGAGGATTCTGTGTCCTGTCTCCCTCTGTCCCAGACCAATGGTGTAGCTGCACTTTGTTTACATTAACTAAAGTTTTAAAGAAACTGTCAAGGGATGTAACTCTAGATATACTAGTTTAAACCTAGTTTAAACCTAAGTGACTGAGCAAAACAATGTTTCTAAATCTAGCTCTCAAATTTTTTTTAATGTTTTATGTATGAACACAAAGGAATACTAATAATCTAAGAAAGACTCAATCTTTTTCAGTATTGATTAGTTCTAGAAACAGAATTGAGAGTGTTATAAGCTTATAGCTTCCTACACAAACTAAAATAATTCTATATAAACTAGATATTTGTCTTCAAAAACCCAAAAAAAGAAAGCTTAATCATCAAGAAAACAAAACTATCAGTAAGAACTAGCTTTTGATCTCCTTCACTGAAGAGAAAGTATTCACTATCGTATGTATTTTGAATTGGCTAGCATCCCTTACATGCGGTTTTATATGAACAAATATTTCATACCATATTTCCTATCTCCACATAGATCGGCTAAAAATCATAGAAAATATGTGCAATCAGTTACTCTCAAATTGCAGTAAGTATTAAATTAAAGATACTTAAAAATGATATCGAGTTTAATGATATTTACTTCGATTATGAAAATCAATTACACATGACTAGACTGGTATATGCATGCATGAAAAACGGTACCAACAAAGTCCTAAAATTCACTTTCAACTTTGACTATACCAATATCATAGATAGTGAAGTTTTGCCAACAAAACAAACTTCTATATAAAGTTGAAAACAAGAATTTGTAACAAAGTTACCAATGTCCCCCACCTCTGGGAAGTTTTATACAAAGCATAAAATTGTGCTATTTCGAAAGATTGAGGTATGGATCTCAGGACTTTTAGTCCAAAATTATGATCAATGCTAGATCTGCAAATGCAACAATAAATTTATTAAAGAAATAAAGTGTAACACGGAATTTAAAAATCTATCATGTTAAGCTTTGACCGCTAAGTGTGACCTTGACCTTGGAGGTAGGGGTACAGGTGTTGTGCATGACATATTGTCTTATTATTGTTACTATTTGTGTCAAGTATTTTCAAAATTCCTTGAAAAGTTATGGACTGGACACAAAATATAACCTAAAACAGACTATGTTAATCTTTGACCTCTAAGTGTGACCTTGACCTTGAAGGTAGGGACACAGGTGTTACGCATGACATATCATCTTATTATAGTGACTATTTGTGCCAAGTATTTTCAAAATCCTTTGATCTATGAAAAAGTTATGGACCGGACACAAAATATACCCTATAACAGACTTTGTTAATCTTTGACCTCTAAGAGTGATGTTGACCTTGGAGGTAGGTGACCGGTTGTTGTGCATGACACATTGTCTAATTATTGTGAACAAATCCCTTCAAAGATAAGAAAGTTATGGACCAGACACGACGTATACCCTAAAATAAATAATGTTGACCTTGAATGAGCAAGTGCTACCTTGACCTTGGAGGTAGGGGTCTGGTTGTTGCGTATGAAACATCACCTTATTATAACAAACATTTGTGCCAAGTTATTTCAAATTCCTTTGATAAATGATAAAGTTATGGACTGGACATGAAAGTGTGACGGACAGACATCCACCAGAAATGGAATAAGGGGCCAATTCTGTTGTTATTTTCCTTTGTTTAATAGAGGGCGTATGGCCCCTTACTCTATTGTTTCGGAATGAACTCTATTGTTCTCTTTTGTTCTGTTTACAGTTAGATGGCCCCCTATCCAGACAGACGGAGCCTATTGCTATATCCCCTTTTTCTTCAAAAAGGCGGGGACAATAAGATAAGTAAAATAAAAAGAAAATTAAAATAATGAACAGTTAAAAAACAACTAAATACTTACAATGCACCTGGTATATTGTCTGGTGGATGCCTCATATGACAGAATTTCCTATGTTAATCACAAAATTTCTATTGTGTTATTATTTTAAAGGACCAAAAGATAATTCTCTGCATGTAAGATGTCAGTGTTATGTAACAACAAAGCAGTAACTATATGCCAATGAACACATTTTTTGTGAAGCATATTGGTACACCTGCTAAATTTGTATATAAATGGATTCGCCCCAGCTTTGAATTTGGAACAGTCCATTCAAAGTTTAAGGGATTGAAGTATAGATATAATACAAAACTTGAGCTGGCAACAGTATAGAGACTGGTCCGTCTACAGTTTGGTTCAGTAGGTAATATTTATCAAGATGTATGGTTACCTTCTGGTCAAGTTTTCTGTTGAGACCATCACAGTCGTCTCTCTTCATGGTCAACTCTTCACTTAACTGGTGATTCTCCTGTGATAACAACTCCTCGTTACGTTTACTTAACCTGTATAATATACATATATATGAGCCGCGCCATGACAAAACCAACATAATGGGTTTGCGACCAGCATGGATCCAGACCAGCCTGCGCATCCGTGCAGTCTGATCAGGATCCATGCTGTTCGCTATCAGTTTCTCTACTTGTAGTAGGGTTGGTAAGCGAACAGCATGGATCCTGATCAGACTGCGTGGATGCGCAGGCTGGTCTGGATCCATGCTGGTCGCAAACCCATTATGTTGGTTTTGTCATGACATGGCTCATATAAACATATATATTCAAGAATCAAATTTTCTCATTAACGTTAATAGCAATTATAAAGATTGTTGACAGGTAATATGGCCCTAATTAAACGGTAGTTTGGAAATATAACCCGAACCGCTAGGCAAGCATTAAATTGCAAACAACCATAAATATACCGTCATATAACCTGTCAGGAATATTTATAACAAATTATAATACAGCAATCGTCCTTTTTTTCTTTTCAGAAAAAAAGTGAGATTTGTTCATAAGTTGACAGCAGCCGTTGATATAAAACTATTATATAAACATCACGATTATGCTATAAAAAGTATACTAAATCTATAGAATAAGTTGAATAATATCATACTATGCAAGCATTTAATGGCACACATCAAAAATAAGAGACATTTATTCATTTTTGCAACCTATAGTGTAATGCTACCCTTAGTATACTTTTAGTCTTTGTTTGTATAATACAAATAATGTCTCGCTCAACTTGCAATATAATAACACCTGTGTAAATTTTAAATGACATTATTACACTTCTGCACCATTGCTTTACGTGATAAAGCTCACATAATTATTCCTAATGAAATTTACTTTAAACAATTGATCAAACAGTCTAAAAAAATGATATAATAAATATATATCAATATGTAACTTTATTCTACCTCGCCTGGTCTTCAGTATCAGTCAGGTTTTTTCGTAACATAGAAATCTGTTCATCTTCAGTGCGAGCTTTTGTATCACTTAAACTCCTGAAATACATGTAAATATAATATATTTCTCAGGACTCATGTAGAGGAAAATAAGGCTATTTAATCATTTAATTAATTATGTGCCAGGCTAAAGGACAAGGGAACATTTTTCAATATCAAACAGTGACACACAAGCAAGATTGACTACAACCAAAAAGAACTCAGATTTTACTCCTTTTTTCATACCAAAAATTTACTACTTTATATACATTTGTAATTAATGAAGACCTTTTCAATGTGTGTCTAAGCATTGTGTCAAGCCTAGGCATAATGTATTATATTACATAGGTATTATGAAAACTAATTGCTTAATATTGTTCTTGTAAAATGAAGTGCTATTCATAGCAAACTTAATACAACCTTGACCTTAAAGGTAGGGGACATGGGTCTTAGACATGCCACAACATCTTGATTTGGGAGAAATTTGTGCCAAGACAAGTTATTTTAAAATCCTTCAATGCATGACAAATTTACAGTCCGAACAAGAATGTTAAGACTGGGGATGAACTGACAGACGGTATGATTTCAATGTGCCGTCCTACTGGGGCATAAAAATATGATCATTATAAACTATGACATACCTAATGATGTCATCTTTCTCAGAGATCTGTTTGTTAAGTAAGGCAATATCTTTGGCATGTTGTTTACTGTCCTCCTCGGACATACGTAAGAAATCATCTCTTGCTCGCAGCTCTGCTTGAAACTCGGAATTCAACTCTTCAAGTTTCTGAAACAACAAGTAATTATTGAAGAAATAAAAACAAGCAAGAGCCATGTTAACATGGTCATCCCCCGCCGAATGTGTTTGCTCATTGGAAGAATATATATGTAGTAGAGCAGAATAATTCAATTTTAAGAGGTCTTTTGGTAAAGAAAACTGATGGCTGAAGTGATTACAGATTTGAAACCTATGTGAATACTGATGGCTGAAAATAACAAAGGGCAATAACTGAAAAATAATGCAGGGTAGGTTATCATTCTTGTGTGATGCACTTCTCCTCAATGAGATCTAAATGAGATCTATCTACCTTTGAAGTTTCATGTTGATACCTTTAACACTTTTTGAGATAAACACCGGACAAAAATGTTGGACGGACTGATGGAAGGACAGACCGACCGGGACTATTTCTATATCCCCCACGGCCTTTTCTTGCTGAACCGTGATATAGATTAAAGATTTTTTTTTTTTTTTTAATTTACTCAAAAATTTAGCATAGTCAGTCTCAAATTGTCATTTATGAATAACACTGGATGTGGGGAATATTATGAATTCTTTTTTAGTGGGTCAAATTCTGTTGACCTAATTATAAGATTATATACATGTACATTAAGTAAGAGATACATACCCGGACTTGATTGTTCGCCTTTTTCAGGTCGTTCAGCAGACGTTCATTATCATCCATAGCTTTCTTGTGTGATGTCATAGCTTCATCTAAAGATGCCTTCAACTTATCAACCTTTGAATTCTTTATGAAAAATAAATCTTTATATATAAATATCATGATCAATAAATGTACCTTCGAGTTTCCAAGTAAATTGTGAACTTTTATATTGTTATATTCATGTTATTCAAAACTACTTATCATGCAAATATAAACTATAACCAGTGCAATTGTGCTAATAGGCATACAATATGAAATGCGTAACAGTGCAATATGAAAACAATCTAAGTGCAACAAATTGTCTTAGGTGGTTTGACCCTTTGACTGCCGACTGCAATGAAATTTACCCATGCAACCATGCTGTCTGATCCTGCTCTGTTCATTTCTCAGTCAGTACATGTTTTGAATTTTTCATAAAACTGATGAATGACTTTATTCAGATTGTAAAGTCCATTTAGACATTTAGCTGTCAAAGGGTTTACCCTCTTTCTTTAATGTGACAAACTACGTGTACTTATTTAAACATGATATTAAAATTTGTACCCAAGGTAAAAACTTTTAATATCTAAAATGTCATAATTCATTGAAACAGCAGAAACTTTAATTGCTTAACGACTATAAAAGATTCAGTAGTAATAATAAACCCTTAAGATTCAGCATTATAACCATTTTACCCGTTATTACGTGATTCATCAGTTATGTTAACTCATTACCTGAATATCAATTCAGCAATAATATTATCTATTTACCAGATTCAGCAGTGATACAAGTATTAAAGCTGTACATGATCTTAAGTGATTCAGCAGAAATATAGTATAGATCCCATACTTGATATTGAGTGTTTCAGCAGTAATATTAAAGCTGTATCTAATATTTAGTTATTCATCTGTAACATGAAACCCTTTACCTGATATTGAGTTATTCAGAAGTTATATTGATCCTTTAATATCTGCATTAAGTGAATCAGCAGTAATATTGACCCTTTACCTGCATATTAAGTGATTCAGCAGTAGTATTTAGTTTTGCTTCTAGTTGTGCAATTTGTGAGTTGAGACTAAACTCTGTGCTATCCAAAATTTCCCGCCTCTTATCAAGCTGTGTTTGGTAAGTCTGTGCTTGTTGCTATAGTAACAAAATACAACAAATATGTAATAACAAAAACTAAACAAAACTTCCCAAAAATTGTAGTTACAGTTAACAAGAAGTAGAAATGGTGAGAGATAACCCATGCTAAGTTAGAAAGTTAGCATCTTTATAACAAAACTGATAAAATTCATGCTAAATATTTATGTGATTCATAAATATTTATGAAAAGAGATACAAAGTCTGAAACTTTTCCCTTTAATTATATCAAAATTATTGTTTGACTTCTGAGAAATACCTTACTTAATAAAAAGATATACTTGTAAAATACCTTAATAGTAATTTAAAGCATACACAAATCATTGCTAAATTATCAAAACCTTATTCGAATTAGCAGCATAACATTTTGTTTAGGTACGATATTTATATGTTATGTTAACATTCTATGTAACAACTCTTTCTGAGAGAAAACATAAGATCATGAAAACAGCATCAATTACTTGAAAAACAGCTTTATAGCCATTAAAATATTTACAAATGAATTGTTAATTTTTTACATCAGCAGATTAAAAGGTTTGCAATACAATTACAATTTGTAATAAAAATTTTTCAAAAAAGACAAGCCGAAAAAAAAAATTACTTCCTTGTTTCTACTGAGAGGGCATTTTCTAAAATTTGCATTTTTGAGAGAAGTTGTTACTTGTAAGGTGTAAAATGTTAGATTTTTAGAGGAATTTAAACCTGCTATAAGAAATTTCTAAAAACAAATTGCACACTAAAGGGTAAAATATATAGTTGGATGCTTTAAGTCTCAACATTTATCCACAGAAATAAAGCATTACTTTACAGTTATAACAAAATTTTATAGAAAATTGAAATATTAGCTAAGGGATATTGATAATACATACCAATATAAATTATTATAAAGAGTTATTTAGTTGGATTCCAGGCTGCGTTAACAGTTATATGGTACAAAATACTACAAATAATTGTTATATATTATGTTAATAAATGTTTTAAGATAAGTTAGAAAAATAAAGTTAGGGGTTGATAGCTAGGTGGCTTTACTTTTGCATCCACTGCCTACTATATTTTGTCATCCTGGTAACCCTAATTTGCACAATGAATAAGAAAGAATAGGAACCAGTTACTATTACTACAAGAATCTATAAATTCCTCTTATTCCAAAGACTCTTATCTTGCGTATTTCACCTATGAAGATCCGGTAAGCAATGGCCTAGTGTTTAAGGTGTCTGCCTCTCAACCCAGGAAATGTGGGTTTCAATTTTAGTCAGAGTCAGGACCATGCTCTCTCATGAGACACAAGTACTGGTTAGCTTCAGGAAGGGGACTTAAAAGTGGTTCATTATTCCTAAAACCTAAGCATGGCAATTTGACTATAACATTATTTCTTTAAGTATAGCAGGAATCAAAACAGGGCAAATTCTCTATGACATTATTCCCAAAATCAAAGCAAGCTAGTCTATTACATAATTCCTATAATCAAAGCAGGGCAAGGTGTCTATTGTCTAATACATTTTTTGCAAGCAGGGCAAGATGACATACATTACTATCAATGTAGGACAAATAATGTCTATTACATAATAATACAAATTTATTCAAAGAAAAACTAGGCAAGACAGTTTTGTTTGCTTTTTCATGAGTACAACACTCATATCTTATACATATGAATAGTAAATATATTTCCATTATCAAACAATGAAATTTCAGTCTTTACAGTAAGACTTAGTAAATAGCTAGCTTAAGAAAGCAATAATAGAATCAGGAGTGTGAAATGAGATGTTCAGACACTGATTGGATTTATTTTATTCATTTATCTTTTTTTTTTTTTTTTTTTTTTTTTTTTATCATTGTCATCTTGGAACCCATATAACAAAATATCAAAAATGTCTTGCCTAATTGTTTAAAAACTATACTAAACATATATATAGGAAGGTAGATATATTTGTTTAAATACTAAACATGCAGTAATAAGGGAAATGTAGATATATTGTTAATTAATATGCAATAACCAACCTTCACCCTTTCACATTTTTCCATCAAAGATTGACGCTGTTTTTCCAATTCATTAAACTCACCCTATGTAATACAAACAGCAAAACTATACATGTACATAGCCTAACCCTGTCACCTACTTTAATACTAAAAACAAGAACTGTCAGTTGGACAGTGTGCTCTCCTATTTCCAGTGCATAATAGTAAAACAAGAGCCTGGATAATGTGTTCAAAAAGGACCATTATTTTGTCAAAATTTATCTTCGAGTAGAGTTATAGGCCTTGGTCAGTGATCTCCTATTATGCTCTAAGATAAATGAGTGTGTGCAGTTTCAACTCATTCCCTTCACTAGTTTTGGAGTTACCAACTTGTATGCAAAAGCTAAACTAAAGTAAGATGCCAACCAGGTGAATACAATATGCTCTCCCTATTCTTTGAATAAACAAGCTAATAACTCCCTCTTATCACTCACATTGTTTCTTTGAAGGATAAACCATCCAATGTGACAATTGTTCTACTTTCCAATCTACTTTTCTAATTAAAATGTTACCCTTAAGGACTCCCTCTCATTGTGTCTTTATTTTTCTCACATTGTTTCTCCACAAAAATCAATGTTATGATTTGAAAATAAATATTATATCACACTTAATGCTTTATAATTAAAAAATTCTCAATAGATTTCAATATTAACACACTATGGCATAAAGTATACCTTGTACTTTGGGAAAAAAAGACTTTAATATGTAAATTTAATTTTAGGGGAAAACTTCACGATTTAAAAGAATATTTATAAAGGAAATTAAGATACTCTTTAACATCCCCTGCTATAAAAGAGAGAAAAATCCATTAGTAAAACTAGAACTCAAATATAATATTAACCTACTAATGTTAAATCATAATGCAGTGATGACTGACATTTAGATCAACAAATAACCTAAACTTCAAAACTTTGAGATATCACTAGAACTTCACTTTCAATAAGTTGTTGCTACATGTAACATTTTTAGCACACAAAACAACTGTACTATTCCTACTTTTCATTATCAAATATTTACAGACTACATGTCTTTCACCACAAACACTAGCACAGAAATTAAAGTAGTAAAATATGAAAATTTAATTAAAAAATCTAGTTCTACTAAACCTTTATTTTTTTATAAAAAAACTTACATTGAACGCCAAGGTAAAAATCTTGATTGATTAGAAATTAGAAATTTTTTTAACTCTTGATGGAATACAATCTAGGATAGCGGAGCATATACATATAGAACCAGTAACTAATTCAATAATCAACATTCTTTTATTTGAACCCTTAGTCTGCAGCAGATTTTACCCATGCTGCAAGAGCAGATCAAGATGGGCAGGCACATCTGTGCTGTGTAATAATCATGGTCTGCACTGTTCACTTTTCAGTCATTTGGTTTTCTGTAATTTTTTCCCCTAAAACTGACTGATCTGACCAGACTGACAGATTGCCAAGTCTATTTAAGAATTTTAGAGGTAAGGGTAAAAGCAGGAGCCGCACAATTGTCTATTTTGTCCATTTTGTCCCACAGCCTGAATGGGCAAGTGGAAATTTTCAAAAATTTAAATTATTAATCACAAACACACAAGTTAAGAAATTCTTTAGATAAAAGTAGGCAAGTAAAAAACAGATTTTGATGGCCCCGGTCCTTGAATGATAAAAAGATAATAACTTATTTAAGCTGTCAATATAGAAGGTGGCCCATTTTCAAATCTATTCTTTCTGACCAGACTTTATGCTGCTTGATTTTATCAAATTTAAATTGACATTGGTTAATTGATCATAGCAGTTTTGTCAGTTTAAATTTAAAAGCAGTCAAGTCTTTTGCATGAATTTAGTGGTACAAGGGCTCATACAAATTCATACAGTAAACTTCATACTTTTTATCATCCATGCTAAAGAAATAAACCTAAACTCCAAGGTATGGGAATACACATCATGGATCCTTTGCCTACCAGCACAATATATGTATACATGTATATTAACAACACATTAGTTCACACGTGTAGTACATAAACACTCAGCACAGCCAACATATCACACAGGTGCATATACACATATATAGAACACAGCAATCATGTAAACTTCACACAATTTATCAAAAAATCAAGTTATACAGGAGTGTTTAAAAATAAAACAATTTAAGAGTCTGTGCAAATTTTAAAGGCAAGACGCTAGTTCAAATAAAATCTTCAGAAATAGTAAAAATTATAAATATTCTGAGAGGCTGTAAAATAAATTATTCTTCATGAAGTAAAAATGTGATAATTAAGGGATATCTGGTCATATTCCTTATTGATAAAAAATACCTCCCAAAACCACCTTTATTGGTTGGGTTTTACGTTGCACCTACACAATATAGATTCATATGGCGACTTTCAAGCTTTACTGGTGAAGACCTCGGGTGCCCTTCTGTGCATTATTTCAGGCACAAACGCCCACCCAAAAGCTATTTACATATAACTTGTAATGAAGTGTATAAATAGTGTATCGACAGTACAGAAGTAATAATAAACTTACAGCCTCTCTTCAATATGATATAAAGAAAAATCTCCTATTTTCAAAACAAGCTGTTGAAATTTGGTGATAACAGAAAGAAGGGGTGAAATTAAGTCAACAAAAAGATTTACCATACCTGTACAAATTCACATTTATCTGCTATAGCTTTCCTCTGGGCCTCCAGTGACTCGACCTGTTTCTGAAGAGCTCTTCTGTCAATCTCCCAATCTCGAGACCTTTGTCTGTAATCCTGAAATAATTGACAGCAAGAAACATGTTACAATCAAGAGATTTGCTGGGACTATTTTGAAGTCCGGTTAACAAGTAATATCATGATGATTCATCTATAATATCAAATGGTGACTTTCAAACTTTTTTTCTAAATTAACTCAGCCAATGTTACCTTTGTATAGAAGTTTGTAGCTGCTGAGACAAAATTTCCTGATGCCCAATCCTTGCTTTATTTTAACCCTTAGCCCTGACATTGTCCATTTTTCAATCTCGACAAAACAATTCATCATTTTTTAGAGAAAATTCCAAAATATACACTGACTGAATAGCGAACAAATGAGACCATAACCACATGCCATGGATGTATCTTGGTCTGTACAAGTTGCATGGGTAAATTCAGTCACTGTCTGTAAGCTAAGGCTAAAACAATCAGTGTAAACTTGTTTGGTTGCTATTTAGGTCACATCAACAAGGTGAAAGTCATATAGCAACTAAATTAGAGAGAAAGACCCCATGGTGTCCTCCCTGCCCCCCTTTTGAATCTAGAGAGGTGCTGCTCTTAAAACACATATATAGAGTACATGTACATATATGAAAATAAATAGATATCTAAGGTTTTGTTTTAGTTTTTTTTGTGCTGCTTTTTTATTTCTTTTTTCACACCAACATTGTTCAGGTCATATGGGGGCTTTCCAGCTTTCCTGGTAGAGGAAGACCTAAGGCAAAAGCTGACACCTAAGTAAAACTACTGACATTCCATATTATAGCTGGATTGCTTCCTAACATGTAAAAATCCAAAGTCCCCTACAGGATTTAAACCTACTGTGGTGAGAGGCAAGTGGTTTGAAGTCAACAACCTTCACCACTTGGCCATGGATGCGCCCTAGATATAATCTGAGTTATTTAGATATTTTAAGTAATTAACAAAATACCTCCACTTTCTTAACAAGTCTGTGTACTTCCTTCATTCCATCTTGTATTTCTACCATTGATTTTTCTTTATCTTTCTCCGACTCTTTCTTCTGCTTTGTGTGTCGTTTATGGAGACGTTCATATTCTCGCTGCAAATTTTGTACCTGTTAAAGATGATAAAAACATGATGGTGTATTTTGTATATGATTGATTGAACTATAATAACATTAACAGAAAAACTCTATGTTATTTTGAATCATCCATCGTATATATGCTCAACTTTGAGTTATGAAGATACCTTTCTTTAAAGGCAAAGCAATTAAAATAATACATATTTACAAACACTGGTAATTTCTCAATACAGGACTTTGTTCACTGTCCAATCAAATACAAATATGCTACTTAAAATCTGTTTTTAACCTTTAATCTGCTAAAAAAGGGACACTAAGCCATCCTATGTTAAATCAGGGTCTTTCATATAAAAAGAAAAATTGGAAGACCCTGGTCAAATTTGGCTTTTTTACATCTTTTTTTCCTATAAATTTAAGGAATCATTATACATGAAAATAACAAAATGTAAGCAAAAAGAAGTATCTATGCTTAAACATATCATAATTTCTGGATTTATCACCTCATTTTTAGACAAATATTGTCAATTTGGATGGATTGTGTTTGGGGGTTAGGGGTCAATGACCAAAACACATTTCCAAGACTTTTATATTAATTTACGAGAGAACATATCAAATCCTTACATATGGTAGTTAGTACAATACCTCAGTTTTAAGCACTGATAGCTGTGACTCATACTGGCTAACTAACTCTCGTTGTTTATTCTCGGAACCTTCCAACTGCTGTCTCAACTGACCTATCTATAAATAAAACACATTTTCTGATCTTCTTCATTATATTAAATAACACATCATGACTTTGAACATAAATATAATATGCAACCATTCAAAACAATGAATTGAGTTTTTGTTGTTTTTGCCTTTTTTTTTATAGCTCTGTTCCATGCTATAAACAAACATTTGAAAATTAAAACATTCAGACAAGTTTCCAAATATATTTAGAATACTTGAATGTTTGTTTAAATTCATAGTTAGAATGTGAATATTTTTGTTTCTATTTTATAACCTAAGGTCTACTTCTAAAACGGCGATTAAATTGCTGTAATAACAATGTATGGCTACAATCTGACATAGTGACAGTTGAAAATTATTGGTTAGCAAATCTTTAACACATGGAAAATAATGGTAAGGCCTACCGGGTATTAAAGGAGGCAAGTTTAGTGACAGTTTAGTTTTCTTTAAAAGAAAAGAACGAAACAAAACTTACAAAGATGGTCACTGAACATTGATTTTTTCCATATATTCATAAATGAAAGAGAGTACATGACTTTGTGTAAATTCTCACCTCTTGATGTTTCTGTTCCAGAGTTGACTTTGACATCTGACATTCTTTTTCTCGTATTCCAAGTCTTGATTGAAGACCCTCCTTCTCTCTTTCCCATTCTTTCTTCTTTCCTGCCACAAGTTTATCAATCTGTTTCATAAGTTCTTGTAGCTCCTTCTCACAGTTCACAGTCAGAGCTCCTTTAGGGAACCTTTCAAACACCATAAAAACATGAGAAAAAGGTACATCATAACCTTTCTTGTCTGTCAAATTAACTACAAATGCAATCAAGAATTTACCTATTAATTTAATAACGTCAGCAAGTAAAATTAAAAAAACACTCTTACACAAGCATTTTGTACACAATAAACAAAATCATGTTTTCATTGTGCTAAACGTCCACAAAGTGGTATAATTCTGTCTTGGTCCATAGCAAGGTTATTCTATCCAAGAAAGAGACCAACAAATATTATGATCTGGAACACATGTGTAAAGTATTAAGTACCTTAAATTGTTTATGAGACATAAAAAATGTATGCATGTGTTATATTCCAACAATGACACAAGAATGGACAGAACTGACTCCAATAATCAATTACTCCTTTTTCTTTTTTTCAAATAGTCAATAATAATAAACATTTAAAACAACACATAATATAATGCTATAATAAATGATATCAATTATTCTGCCTACCTGTTTTCCCTTTGGAGCTCTGACCACATTCCTGTTATTGGCAAGTCCATTGTTTTCACTCTTCCATCAGCACCTATCTTGGACAAGACTGGCAAAATTCTCTTGTAGATTTCTCGACATTCTGGAGTATATCAAGATCATTCTAAAATTCTGTCATGTTGTTACATAACAATCAATCCTGTTTAAATCATTAGTAGAGGGACACGTCCTACATTACCTAGCTTGTTATGAATTTACTATTTAAAAAGACTTTTTTTCTGGTGGTAAAAATTGCAGGAAGAAGTGTTATTTAGGCCGATTTGGTAGACTCTAGACTAGTCACTTCAGAGACACCTATGACATACAAATGTACAAGGGAATCCAGGAACCAGTCCCTAGCTCTTATTGCATACATGTGAACATTTTGGATGATCAAGATTTTCTTCAAAAAGAGGGAGATTTTAGAATTTGTAATAACAAAGAAGGAAGTTCTGATATCAAAAATAGGGAGAATTCTTTAATTTGTGAAAATACCTCTTATTTTAAGAAAAATCTTTGAAAATAGGATTGCAGAAATTGGGAGTCTCCTGCTAAAAGTGGGAGAGTTCATTATGTATGTTATTGAAATAACCCCTTGGTTATTTTACATGCCCAGTGTATTAGCACTGGTACATGCGAGGATTACCTGGACTTCTTACCTTAGTAGACCTCTAGTTTAAACCCTTAACAGGAACTGTTGCACTACTTTCTAAACATGCACATGTATACATTTATATAGTCAGTTTCATATTTCACCTGTTACTGAGATATCATAAAAATCCTATGAATGGTGCTTTCTTTAACAAAAAATTGTCTGTCGGAAACAAAACATTTATAACGGAGACACAGATAATTATCTACGTACATAACAAAATGACTTTAAAAAATAGTTTACGATGAAAACAGTCTGCATGAAGGGTGACACTATTCACACCATACCTTGCGATGCATAGGAAACTTTTTAGTCCTCACTATCTGCCAAATAAATTAGGTAACATTATAGTTTAAAAACCCTACCTACAGATTCCATCCATTCCATTTTAAAAACATAAAATGCTTTTATTTTACACTTAAAATTGATAGAAATTGTAAGCAGAAAGCTATGTTAAACATTGACTAAATCTTGTTTACCCTAAAAGTGAGATCTTGCAGGAACTTGTCACTTGAACAATATTTATTTTGTAAATAAATCATCTTTTGTAAAGAAATTGGCAAGCTCAAACAAGTTCCATGTTTGGGAATTTTATACTGCCTCCATTCATCAAAACAACAAACTGGGTTCAGACAGACGTATTTCATGAATTTATTACGTTTTCATATAACAAAACATGCATTTCATGATTGCCCCAAAATAAAATCACAAATTTGTGTAATGTTTACCATTTTGACAGTGTTGCCGCTAACTTGAAATTTACATAGGCTGGTTCTATGTATTGTATCGGCAGTGCGTTACTTTAGACGAGTTTATTCATTTTTTTCAGCTTTAAACCCGTCTGCTGATTATCGTCGTAAACTTCCGGGGTGTGATAAAATGAGAAAATAGATAAATAAACAGATATTATTGTATTTCAAAAGTTGTATTGTCATCAAAAATAGAAAATGTTGTTAATGTTTGATGAAAAACATAAGACACATCTGTCTTTTCTTCTTGACATTGACATTTCAGGCAAGTTTCTTAAAATAAAGTCGATTGTAACTATTTTTCGCGACACTAATTTTCTGTTTGAGAAAATATTTCAGCTCCATCAGCTGTTCCTCTTAAGTTTTGCTAGTCTTTGCTTGATGTATTGGAATTTAAGTTTTGAAAGAAGCCCCTACCGCTATTTTTGGCAAACATAGAAAATCCCGTTATTAGTTTGTTTGTTTTTTTTGTTTGTTTTTTTGGTAAAAATATTATGTTTTGTGATTCAGAATGTTGAGTAGGTTAAGACAGTTACACTAACAAAGTTTGCACTCTTACCCTATGCTACGACCGGATGTAAACAAAACGTTCGCACAGGGCATGCGCGGTGGTTAAATCCCACCCATTTTATTCGATTAAATTCTAGAACAACCACTACTTTCGGTTTCAATTTTGCTGACAAGGAACAGTTTGAATCAACGTAAGCGTTAATTTTAATTGCAATGTCCAAAACTTTGCACTACACGGCGTAATTTTCATTACATATCCGGTATTATCACCGTCATAGTAGTTTTTGTTCCAGTCGGTCAAAATGACGGTACACATTACATGTAAACAAACAGATTAACTTCTTTAGACAATTTAAATAAGGAATGGACACACGGTAAAACTCTGTTGCAACGTAAAGAATATTCATAAACCTGTTTGAGAAAAATTGTCTCCGTGTTCAAATAAATTTCAAAAACGGGAAAAAAAAGCAGTCTTTTACCAATACCCTGCAACAGAATCTTATTATTCTGACGAATTAAATTGACTTTATAACGCTCGTATACAATTATTGATTGATCGATTTTCATTATATTTATTTTGTAATACCTATCATTCAGTATGCAATCAAACAAAACCAAGTTTTCCTACATTCACGGAAACTGTAAGTTAGGACGAGCTTTCAAAACGAACAGGTAGCAATTTCCAACACGCTTACCGAAACTCCAACATGGCGGCTCAACGTGGCTCATTTGCATAATTTATTCATAAACGCAGGAGCATAGAACTTTGTTAGTGAGTTAATTCATGCACTAGTTATTTGTAATCCAGGCTACAACATTTGTGGAGTAGTCTCCCCAATCCCTCATTAGATCTAGCTTCTAATGTATTCTGAAATAAAATTAGAAGGACCCAAAAAGGAATTTATTATTATATCATGTCATCTACAGTATGTGTTTATTAGCATTTAACTTATCAATGCAAATGATATTAAAAACATAATTTTTAGACTTTTGGGATGTATTTTTTTTTATTTATTGTAATGAGTTTTCAATTTACATTATAATGCCATCTATGAGCACTTGCAGCCCTCTGAGTTTCTGTTTGTTAAGATTCTTTCAATCCTTTGTTAACAAAAATAGCCTTATTATAAAATTGAGGCATTTTCTGTCTTTTAATGACAATAATATTTTTTAAATAAATTACATTAAGCCATACTTGATCTAGACTGTACCATTGCACCTATGGCCCTCTGAATTACAAACGGGCACAATTTATAAACAATGCTGGACCCATTGGTCACAATCAACAAGTAAAGAAAGAATGTAAAAAACTGGAAGTTGTTTTGGAGATTCCATTCATTAATCTCTCTGTCGCACAGATTCAAGTTATAAAACGCAGGTCATATGTTATTATTACCTAAGGAAAAAGGGAAACCAAGCCAACATATTGGGTTTTTGTACAAAACAGGCATTATATTAATTGTTGATGGGAGCATAAATAGAATAATCCTTCAGCAGTTTATATAGTGAATATTTTACACATGCCCAAAATATCCTAGGTTTCCGGTGTTTTTTTCATGAAATGTCAATATATTTATCATGTACATGTATGTCAGTGGTCATCTGCTCCGTTGATATTCAACTCGCCAATAAGACAAGAAGGCTTCATTTTTCTACTTGTCCGACTGCATATTCTACTTCAGGTAGTTTGTAAATAAAAGCCAGCCAGTGGAATTATTGATTTCTAGTCAGGAAATGGTGCATTTCTAGTAAATTCTATGGGGAAATTCAATCAACTATTCAAATGAATATACAATACACATTTATGATAATACACAAACATATTTTGCTTCAGTTTGTATACCTGGCCCAAAATTTTTAAGATGGACCTCCTTCTCAAGGCATGGCACAAGCCCACTGGGCCCCCTTTCAAATAAAGCTAGATTGAACACTGAGATAACTGTATTAAAAAGGATAAAAATAATTTTAAGAGTGTTATCACATTCATGTATAATGTCACTTTGCCCTTTATTGGGTTTTAAAATATTGCAAACCCAGCTGATCTAATGCAATTACAACCAGTTAAAGGGAGTCTGGTAGTTGTCTTTTTTTTTTGGCATACAAAATGTATGATATTTCAATATTAATTTTATTTTCAGTGCTGGAAGAGTTTTGTAAAATCAGTTTAGAGTTCATCAAGAAAGGAGCAAATGTTAAAGTTTATCAAAGTGCTGCACGTAAGTAAAAGAGGTTAAATAATTATTGTTTAGAAAATTAGATACATTGTACAGTATGTAAAATTGTAGAGCAATATTTCTACAAAAGAAATAGAAAAATTATAGTTTGAAGTATATAATGATCATTCATTATAAAATAAAATATATGGAAATAAATATGAACTAAGAATTCAAAGTATGCTATAGTTAATGAGTATCCAGTATCTTAAATGTGTGTAATTTTGAGCATGACTTGTAGAAAGATAGCAGGACTGTCCTACCAATCTTTTTGCAGACATAACACTTGTATTACATATTGTTCATCTCTTTAATTGATGGAGGTATACTTCTCGAAATTTCACACATGTATGTCTTTTTCATCTAAGAGATTTTTATTCAATTAAGAAAATTTTTATCAAGTTACAGAATGTTTTCACTTTAATTTGCTGGTAGTAATGTTGACTAAGCAAAACAGTTACTTTAATTACAAATATTGAAATTTTGATTGATGAATTTGAATTTATAAATATGAATCAATGATAAACATAATTATCCAGTACATTCATTAAACCAGGTATATGGCTTATTGTTTCCTGGACATGTATTTCAAATTGTAAGAAAAAAATTGTTTTACATAGTAACTACCCTTTTCTTTTTTATACTAGAAAAGTTGAATGTACCAGCAGATACAGTGCAGCATGGGGTAGAAGGTCTCATGTTCTTGCTCACAGAGAGTTCTAAATTAATGGTAAGTTTGAATAAATATTGTGTTTACTTTCAATGCATATTGGCTATTAACTTTGACTCTAGTGGAACCAAAATGGACTAGTCTTTGCCTCTATACTTTTGGCTGACTTACTTCAAACAGAGACTTATATTACAGAGAGATAAGAAGCTCTTAAAACAGAAAATTTTCCCATCTAGACCAGACCCACATTCCCTTGCACAAGATTCATTGGCCCTTCAAGTTGATCAATTTCCACTATCTTGTTTTACATAAACAAATGTTTAGATTTTCATACATTTCCAAAAATAATTTACATCTTCTTAATCTGTATTGCTGTATGGTTAACATTTCTGCTACTTCTTTTAAGTTATTTCTTTTGATTACTGTAATGAATTTTTGAACACGGTAAATTATCTAATGTCAAACATTGTCTCTGAAAATCTTGTAAAAATGTCAACATGTGGGATAATTAATCTTTGATGCAGATTTTAAGTGTATGACGTAATAGCTGCCTTTCAGCAGGTGAGGGTAAATTATTCAAAGTTTAATAGTTACCTTTCACAATCTCTTTGGAAAAGAAAACTTTAGAATTGTGAAGGACTTAATTTATGATATTAATAAATTACTTTATTTATTTGATTGCAGATAAGCGAGATAGATTTTCAAGACTCAATAATGACCCTCGGTTTCTCAGAACAGATCCAGCAGGCCCTATTACAACTATATTTACAACACAGGAAGGAAGTTCGAGCTATTCTCAATGAAATGTCAATGGACTTGCCACATTACCACAATTTAGAATGGAGATTTGATGTTGAAGTAAGGGGCTTGTTATTGCTTTAAAACTTTTGTGATTTCAATAATTATATCAGATGTTTGTACAAGTAAGCGCATATTGAAGTTAGGACTATGTCATCACAAGAGAGTCATGACTACATTCTTATATATGTAATTTAGTTAGATTTAAACTGTTGCCTGCAATAATTTTTCGGAATTTTAATATTACATGGTCATTAAAGTGTAAAAATCTATATATTTGCTCCAAAAATTGTAGAATGGTAATAAATTACCTTAAAAGTGAATGGCCCATGCACAAAGATATTGCTAAACAGATAAAATCCTACTTAAAACAGTAGAATAATATTTTGTTCGGAACATTTTATTCTGTTAACATACAATATTCATGAGACAGCTTATGGAGAATCGACCATAAGATTATGGGAACAATATTGAAACTTGTTCTACACCCTTTTACATAACACCTTCTATAAGAGCAGGGATTTCTACTGAAGTAAGGGGCTTCATAGTCAAGTGGTAAAGGTCATTGACTTCAATTAACTTGCTCTCACCACTTTGGGTTTGAATCCTGTCATTGACTTTGAATCCTTTGTTTAAGGAAGCTATCCAGTTCAGTTTTACTCAGTTACCCACATGTGCCTGAATTTATGCTATAATTTGTACCTTGAGCCTCCTCCACCAAAAAGTCATCCTATGACCATTACAGAGTTGATGTGACTCCCCATATAATGGGTTCAGTTGTAAGAAGTATATACTTGCAATATGTAATATTTTAAATGATTATGGAAATGTTCTACAGAATTTTTTTATATAAGGATATTTTTTACCTTGATGGTGAGCATGCTGGAAGAACGTTTCTAGATAGGTGTCTACAATACTCAACAATGAGTTACTGTCACTGTAGACAGGGCTTTTTTCACAGGTTTGGAAAGCAGCCCTGCCCTTAATTTTTGGGTTGAAATTATACAGTATATTTGTAAAAAGGGAAGAAAAAACTTGATGTAAATGCAATTTTTGTAAGGGAAAATTGCATGATTTTAAAGAATTTTGCTTTGGGGAAGCCATCTATAAACAGCCCTTGCTATAGAAGATAAAGCTCTGGTACAAGCTGGAAAATTTCTCTATAACATTAGCATTGTCATTTTAATTAAAAATGTAATCCAATAATATCATATTTCAGCTTGCAAGTAGATCCCTACGTCACCAGGTCACTCCAACCATTACGATGAAACTTCATACACAAGACTGCGGTAAGACATCGGCACAAGTTCTACAAACAGATCCCGTAAATCTACTACACCTGACAAAAGTGCTTGAAGAAGCTTTACAAGAAATGAAGTCACCATACTGTAGGAGAATTGTTAGAAATATCAAATAACAAATATTTATTACTTATTTTGTTAATGATCAATGAAATGCTTTGTGATATCTTTTAGTTTGATATAATCTGTATCATTAAGTGAATATAACTCATTATGATTTGTTTTTTGGGTTTTTTTGTTTTTTTGCATAAATTAGCTTATATTTAATAACAAAAAAGGGCACAACTTTGAATTTTAGTATTTGAAATACATTTTGTACCTTGATTTTAAATGTGAATAAATATTTCAGTATTTCACTTTTGTTATAAAACTCTGATAAGAAAGTTTGAAAATGTTCATTTTTCATATTTCAGAAGTAATAGATATAACACATTACACAATTGTAAATCTTACTTATATTACTGTGTACATGTTTTTCATGAGACAATGCATATACAAAATATTTCAAGAATATCGAAATGTTTAAGATTTTAACTAAAGTAAAAAGATTCAAGATTGGAGTAGTAATGTACATTTTATTCGCAAATTTATCACCATATTTCTACTGCATGATTAGAGATGTAAGGACTTTTTTGCATATTTTGACCTTTTTAGCTCGACTTTTCTATGAAAAGGGGAGCTATCCTACTCGCCCCGGCGTCGGCGTCGGCGTCGGCGTCACACCTTGGTTAAGTTTTTCGTACCACCCCACTTTATTTCAGAAGTATTACAAGTATGGCTTTGAAACTTACCATACTTGTTCACCATCATAACCTCCATCTACAGACAAGAGTACATAACTCTGTCAAGGTTTTTGACAGAATTATGGCCCTTTTTTGACTTAGAAAGTGTATTGAGCTTGGTTAAGTTTTTTGTACCACCTCACTTTTTTTCAAAACCATTGGAGGTATTGCTTTGAAACTGACCATACTTGTTTACCATCACGACCTTCATCAACAGACAAGAGGACATAACTCTGTCAAGGTTTTTGACAGAATTATGCCCCTTTTTGACTTAGAAAATACATTGAATATGGGTAAAATCCACTTATTGCCTTAACCCTTTGAGATATTGCTTTGAAACTTTTAATGCTATTTCACATCATTACCCCCATCTGTACGCAAGAGAAGGTAACTCTGTCAGGGATTTGTTTTAAAAATTAAGGCCTTTTATCGACTTAGAATCTTGGTTAAGTTTTTTGTACCAGTCAACTTTTTGACTGAACTGGTTGAGATATTAAATTGAAAGTTGGAATACTTGTTTACCATCATGGTCCCAAACATGGGCAGGAGAAGGTAATTCTGTTAAGGATTTTATTTGAATTATGGCCCTTTTTGACTTAGAAACTCAGTTAAAATTTTCATTCTTGTCCACTTGTTGACCTAACCATTTGAGATATTACTTTGGAAGTTGGAGTTCTTATGTGCCATCATGAGACCTATCTGTAAGCAAGAGAAGATAACTCTGTGAAAATGTTTCTTGATTTGTACTTAGAAATTCCTAGTTAAAGTCTTGTGTGCCCTTAACTGTCAAAGTTTTGTTTTATAGGCAAGCACTAAAAAAGTCGAGCGCGCTGTCCTTCTGACAGCTCTTTTTTGTAATTTATATGGATTGTAAGTTCATTTGCAGTGAGTAAAATACTATGTAATATTTTCATTGTTAACTTGACAATATTTTACTTTTTAATACATTTTAATTTTTTTTATGAAAATTTTGTCCAAATTAGTTCTTACTGAATAGTGAACAGTGCAGACTGGTTTGAACTGACTGCATGTGTTGAATCTGACACAGGCTTAATTAAATGTTGATTATTTAAAAATGTTTACATGTAGAAGTGATGTATATATATACATGTATTTTACAAGACAAACCTTGACCATCAATTCTACTTCTAAGTTTGAAATGTGGAAATGTAAGAGATATGTGACACAGTGTTTGTGAAAAGTTTGCCAGTTGTAATCTTTAATTCATGTGCAATAATGATTTTGAATATTATATTAGATAAATTTGAAAATAAAAGAGAAATATTACAAGATTTTCTTTTTGTTTTAGGATATGTAGGATTACTTGCACGGCTCTGCCTATGACCCATAACTCTAGCATGGTTTTTATTTTGAGTTATTCCCCTTTGTGAACTTTAAGTTTCCACAATTGTCATATTTATTCTCTTGAAAATTCACAAGTAGATTATGTCTGGAATCACAATCGTTATAAATAATAGTACAAGACCAATAACTCAATTGTAGTTAACCATATTCAGCCTATTTCGCACATAAAAAGTCCATGTTTGAAGGTTTTGCATGCAAGATCAAAGTCTACAACCGTTGAAGCTATTTACGTGCATGTCTTTGAATGGTAGGCCAATTTTTAAAATTCATAAAACCAGTATAAATTTTGACCGAATCATTTCCTTTTGTAAAATCAACATTGTCCTTATTTTTCGAGACAGGGTTTCTTTAATGAGTCAAGTTTTTTCAGATTACAGTTATGGCCCTTGATCATGAATTGCTCATATTGATGAAATAACGTCTGGAAACAGGGAGATCTCTCAAAAACAATGAAAACAAAAATATATGAAAACTGTATCAAGTCTGTTCACGAGAGATAATTTAAAAATGCAACATCTCTCACGACCTCAGCGGGTTTCAGTCGTCAACACTGATCCTGATCTTTTTTTTAAAAAAACGGGGCCTGAATAAAAAAAACAATTTGAAAGTGGCTAGCCAAAGTTCTAGCCGTACATGAGTCACGTAGGCTAGCCAGGAGACACTGTATTGTTTAGCCGCACACTAATGCATACTATTATGTTATTTTATGTCTTTTAACAAGTATTTTAACCAAGAACCCGCATTTGTCCTCGTATTTATATTTATTTAAGCACGGGGCTATATTATTATATCGGTCTCTGATGTCATGTTACGCAAATACGCATTCTTTTAATGTTCTTCAAAGACGTATTCCATAAACATGTTGACGTCATTGTTTCAGTGACGTAAAAACGTTTTTGCGTCGACGTTACCAATAACAACTCGTTGCGTCGCCATTTCAATGGTGGTGAACGGAAAAACAGCAAAAACAAACATGGTAACGTTAAACAATATATTTTTTATATTATTTTTAAAGGTAGATCGGTAAATGTTTTATCAATTAGCTCCATGATTGGCATGAAAATTCGTTATTATTTTGTTAACTGGGATCTAGATTCTGGCACGGATTTATATTATATTTGTAATATAAATCCGTGATTCTGGTTATACTGGATCTAAATCGTTTATGAATTTACGTTTTGATCAGTATCGGCAACTTTCTACGTTTACACTCTGTATTTCATATTGAACTTACCAAAAATACTGAAATAAGACCTCAGATTAATTCTCAAACTGATAAAACCATTTTCTCAGTTAATATTTTAGCTCCTGCAGCTCATGGCTTGAAAAAAAAACGCATTCAGCTCTAAAATACAGAGTCCCCGCCTCCACAATGTTTCTTTTTTTTAATGATTTTAACTATTTAAATCAGAAGAGCCAAAAACCAAAATTTTAACGGGAATAGCTCTCGACAGCGGGGTTCAAATACAGTTGCACCTTGTCCAATGCTGTCTCCTGTATGACTCCTCCTTCCCATTCTCTTTCTTCTTCTCCTTGTTCTTCTCCTTCTTCTTCTTCTTCTTCTTCTTCTTCTAACAAAAAACTACAATTCCTTGTTTGAAAAGAAGTTTATACGCTGATCTTCAAAGAAGTTAAAATGCGAGATGTTCTATCTTGACAAAACATGATCTAAAATTTAAACAGTAATATCTTTTTGATTTCTTTTACTTGTCTAAATAGTCATGCTAGATCTAGAAGAGGACAAGAATTAACAACAAGATATATATTACACATTTCATCGTCTTCACCAAGTCGAGCCATTTCCCCATTTTAGGTGTTTGCTCTTAATATACGTATAACAGAGCAACAGATATAACAAAAGGCAAAAGGGTCGAACATCAAGTTCTGATAACAAAAATCTTGAAATTCTGAAGTTCAAAAGTTGATCACGAATTTGTGGTGAAGTTAAAATCGTGAATTTGTCGAGTTGAAATCGTGAATTTGAAGTTAAAATTTTGAATTAATGAAGATATAGAAGTTGAAATGTCACCGTCGGACTTTCGTACCTAAGGGACACTATTGATGCAAAAGTTCTGATGGATAGATGTCCATGAGTTGTCTGTACTGTAGTGACTTGATTATTTAAAAAATGACGTACATCTATGACATAAAAAAATGTGATGACAATTTCTATTTTACGGAATGTAATTTTAATAAACCTATTTCTGCCAGTATTAATTTTGAATGCTAATAAAACTTATCTTTAAGTCTTCAAAGTAGCAATTTTCCCAAATATATACAGTAGTATAAGCACCGTTCCCTTAATCCGTTAATACGTTAAAAAAGCAAAAACAGACGACCAAGAAACAGTACAATGACTAGCGCTTTTTCGGCTGTACGCATGAGAGAGAATTCCTAGGAAACGCTAATTCGAAATTATGAATAATAAAATATCTACATGTAATTCCTGGCATTAAATATGGATTATCAGATTACATTATTCTCCAGGTAAACAGTCATGACTTATTCATAATGCCCAGATCTTTCCGTATATAATCAGCGGAAAATCTACAAAGAAAAAACGAGAGAAATTCCCGTTCCAAAATCGATTCAAATATCAATTTAGTAATCAGAAAATGTTGCATACGAACCTGGCTTGGGAACAATGGGCTTATTTTTCCTCTACACCAAGGTAAATATATATGTATAAATTACGATTTTGTTTTTAACAAGATGTTGTGCTCTCTTGAGATGAAACTTCTTATTGACTGTACAAATTATGTCTCAAAAACACTGAATTATTTCATGAAATTGATTAATTAAAACATCAAATATTTGAAATGTTACATTGCTGAACTGTTTTATCACACACCCGTGCCGATTTTGCGACTCCTTAAAAATGGTATTGCACGGCCGTGCATATATTTTGACGTGACGTCATTTACGCTATACAAACATAGTGTAAAGACGCGCTAAATGTTAGCGTTTCACTATAGGCGTGTCAATGAAAAAATATTCTTTTGCACTTTGTGCAGTCTTTATTTCGGATATGAGATAAATAGAATATTATATACGTGTAGGTTCATTACTGAATTTATTGAACTCGTTAAATAAAATCATATTTTGCTCGCCAGAGGCTCGCATAATATAATTTTATTCAACTCGTTCAATAAATTCAGTATTGAACCTACACTCATTCAATATCCTCTATATATTCATAAAACTATTACAGCATTAGGGTATTGCAATTACAATATATTAAACTTAAAAACATTATTCTTTAATAATAAGAAATTGCATATTTAAGCCATAATAATCGTAAGAATTGCAGTTTTAGACACTGAAAACGTAAGACTTTTAAATTATAACATATGTTATAGTGATAAGACATTACATAAATCAGACATTACATTACATTAATTAGACATTACAATTATTAGACATTACACTTATTAGGTATTTCACTGTTTAGACATTAAACTAAAAACTTTTAACAATTATTAGACATAACACTTATAAGACATTCATAACGCTCACAATTCATTATGCAAATTACGCCTGTATGGGTATCCATATAAAAACAATGCTACAGGAGTACTATGGACGATTTTCAATGAAATTTGAAATAAAGTCGTATCATTTTAACTCATTAATATTTATATAATTACAATATAACTATTGTAAACTCGATCTTGCGTTTTGATATGTATTTCCGGAGCTTAATTATCATTTTTGTAGCTTTTATTGGAAATGAAAGGATATTTTCACTGTAATTATCACTGCATTGACAAATCAACATCTGTGTCATAAATTCAGCCTGTGAAACTATTTAAACAATTGAGGTAATCTGTCGCCGAAGCAAACAAAATCACTATGACTCCATAATGATTTTTGTCACAAAAGCTATCTGTCATTGCTATATCTATTTGGCAGAGTCTACGGAATCCAGTAAGTGCCATTTAATGTCATATGTGAATTTGGAGGTCAACGCACGAGTGTTGAAGCGGCACGGCTTATGAAATAAACAAACAAAAATGGAAAAAAAATGACTGCATACGATTTTTGATAAAAGGATTTCCGTTGTTTTCCTAAAAAAAATGCGTCAGTTGTTTCCCTGCAATTTCGTCAGTTATCTTCCATGAATAGAGTCAGTTGTTTTCATGAAATTGCGTCAGTTGCTTCCCTGCAATGGAGTCAGTCATTTACCTGGAATAGAAGCAGGTTTTTCCCCAAAATACGTCGGTTGATTTCTTAGAATTACGTCAGTTGTTTCCCAGGAATGGAATTTGTTTTGTTTTCCTTGAATTACGTCAGTGGTTTCCCTAGAATTGCGTCAGTTATCTCCCTTGAATAAAGTAAGTTGTTTCCCTGGAATTACAACAGTTGTTGTCTGAAATGGAGTCCGTTTTCTTCCTGAAATTGGTCAGTTGTTTCCTTGGAATTGCGTCAGCTATATCAATTTTTTCCCCAAAATCGCGTCAGTTGTAGCCTTTGAATGGAGTCAGTTGTTTTCCTGGAATTGCGTTAGTTGTTTCCTTGGTATTGCGTCAGTTGTTTCCCTGGAATTACCTCAATTCTTTTCCCAATATTGCGTCACTTGTTGCCCTGGAATGGAGTCAGTAAAAAAAATGTTGTTGCCGTGGAAAAGAGTCATATGTTGCCCTGGAATGGAGTCAGTTGTTTCCGGAAATTGCGTCAATCGTTTTCGTGGACTTGCGTCAGTTGTGTTCCTGGAATTACCCCAATTTTTCCCTGGAAGTTGTTTCCCGGGAATGGAGTCGTTTAATTCTGAATCATGTAGCTTATTGTGTATGCCGCTCGTATGGGTTTCCTACGACATTTGAGCCTTGTCACGACAACACCAACATAATGGGTTTGCGACCAGCATGAATGCAGACCAGCCTGCGCATCCGCGCAGTCTGATCAGGATCCATGCTGTTCGCTATCAGTTTCTCTACTTGTAATAGGGTTTGTAAGCGAACAGCATGGATCCTGATCAGACTGCGCGGATGCGCAGGCTGGTCTGGATCCATGCTGGTCGCAAACGCATTATGTTGGTTTTGTCGTGACAGAGCTCATTTATCAGAGACAATGTCATTTCCTATATTCCTCTCCATATACGCCCCTGATTGACTGTCTCGTTGATTGTGAAGTCAATATGATATAATCAGGAAACATCCGGAATGATAACGGCCATTAGCAAGTGTTACTTGAAACGATTTGTAACGTCGGGTAGAGAACAGAAAATTGATTACTGTATACAAAAGTGGGACAAAAAATTGATAATCGAAGACTCGGATATAACATTAAATGCTTTTGAAGCACACAAAAACAGAAACAAATGGACTTAGCGTAGTATGTTTGTTTTTAATTATTTTCTTCTGATAATCAATTATTAGATTTTAAAACAAATACTAAAAAATGTTTTGTTTGGGTTTAATAGAAATAGTTATTGCATGCACATCAAAAGCTTCCTGAAAAGGAAAATGTTTATTTGTTGTTTTTTTTTTAATTATTCGTCTTGATTTTATATGTAATTTGAATACACACAAAAAAGCTCGTGAACGACGTGCATTACTTTAAACCATTTGGAAAAAATCTAATTAAATGATAAGTATTTATTTAAATTTCCCTTTTCCATTTAGGTATACCGGTATCTGATATTCAAGTACTTAATATTGTCTGTCTTTACTTTGGCAATCACACTTAACGTTAACATGCGTTTTTTTATGATATTTGTATAAATACACTTTGTAAGCGTTCGTATTTGAGAATAAACACTTAAAAAGTTCAATAGTATACCATGAATAACGCCGTCTAACATATAAAATGTAAAGCTTTGTATGCCCATATTATGAGTTCGCCATTCGATATTAAATTCAATAAAAATTCAATCCATTTCTTTATCTAGGTCTGTAGCACACAATAAATTTAAGTCTCGAGATAAAGTTTGGTGTCAAAGAATGCTTTACCGTATTTAGTATAATAAATATGCCAAAAATAAACATCATATTCAAACGTTCAAATCTTAAACCAAAACAAAGCATAATATTTTGATACTGTCAAAGTTTACGATTTTATAAAAATATAAGTGTAACAGATTTAATTTTCGTTGCATTGTTTTTCTTTTTGTAATATTTAAAAAACAGATTTAATTTTCGTTGCATTTTTTTTCTTTTTGTTATATTTAAATGTTTTTTTTCTCTCGCATATTTTTACCATAATGGATTGTAAGGTTGTTTCGGGAATAGATAGATGAAATGAAATTCTTAAAATATGTTATAAATTGTGGAGAGTTAGGACCAGCGCATAAGCAAGAATATGTAGATTCAAGATAATAAAAAAAATCCTTAATTTTAATAAGCATAAATATTATATTTTTTTTATCTGTAAAATGCTTGTAGCCATTAAAACCTCTATTTGACCGTAATATTACACTTTTATGAAATAGTTACAATGGTAAACAAAATGATTAATTTTCATATCATTTTATTCAGGAATAAGACTTTTACTTAGCCTTTTAACATGTCACTATAAATTACGGTAATAATTGTATATACGGTAATATACAACTCAAAAAGTTCTTCACTTATCTGCAGTTGCTGTCATGGCGCCAGTCAACAAACGCCATCATGTCACGTGATATTAAATGGCGAAGCGCCCGGATGACGCAGACGAATTTTAAATTTAGTTTTTGACTTTTTGTTACACTTCAATATACATTTATTTTGCATGTCAGAATTGCCACACAAATCAAACGATAATTTGTACTGTTCGAACTTGAAGTAATTTACAGTGAATGTATAAAGATAACAACGGTGTAGTTGGATTTTGGACTTACGTTGACAGGAAAAACATACTTTTTCCATTGCTTGATTTAACTATTTCTTGGTGAGTAAAATATAGAGGTTGAGTTTTGAAATGAAAGTAATGTAAAAAAAAACACTTTTGGCTAAAGAAAAGACACAGCATTCATAATGTTTTGTAATGTAGGCATTGTAGCAGAGCGCTGAGCAACAAATCAATCAATCAATCAATCAACGAACGAACGAATAGAATAAAATAATAAACTTGCTATGATATCGGTTCTTTGTTTTTGATATTAATATATTAACCTAATCAGTATTTTAAAATGAAAATCCTTTATATATGGGATTTAAAAAACATTCCTTATAGATTTAAAGCACAACTGTTATCTAATCTGGGTTTTTTAAACAAGTTGTCAATGATGTAATATTAATGTTTGATCGATCTATTGTATATGTTTCGTATGATCTTTTATACATGTCATTGTGATCTTAGTATACATGTATGTTCAGGAACAAGCGAGTAGATGAATGACTTTTAGATTAATAACCGTGATTGCAAAATCTTTGGCTAAGTACTTGAAAAATCATAATCAGTTTTAACAAAGAGTCGGATCTATTGCAGACAATGTAAGACTTAAAATATTTATCTTGTTTAGATTTTATGTAGTCCCCCCCGACTCTGTTTAATCATTTAACTTTATGCACACACAATAACTTTCTGTATTTCTCTTAACTTTGATCGAGTTTATATTAGGCGTTATTGCATTAAATTTCTATACTTTCAATTAATTTGTGGTCATATTTCACCATATTGTATGCTCAGCGTTTTGTATTGAATGTAAATAAAAGTTTTAGGGAAATTGATTTGTTGAATTGAACAATTGTATTTGGTATGTATAGATTTATTAACGGAAAGTTTACACCTGCAGGGAAACAACATCATGTATAGGCTTGTAAATTAACCATCATGAGTAATGACAAATTAGAACATTTGGTATATTTGAGAGAACGAAACTGCATTTAAATTTCTGCCCTACTTTGCCTCTGTAAGTTATGGTAATTTAAATCATTTAAATATGCGAGACATAGACCATTCGAATTAACTTTTGCAATTGATATCAACTTTATTTAGACACTGCATGCCGTTACTAATTTTGGTCTAGTTTTAAATTATTCAAAGACCTGCTCATTTGATAATTGTGTCTCTCTGGTCTGGCGCAACAAGGCCTAAAACCTTGTTTGTTTCTGCATATCGTCTTGAAACTTAGATCGACTCACTGACCAGTTAGAACACTTTATATCTATAATTTGGTATCGAATTATTTCACTATAATTTCATATTAATACAGGAGATCGTGTGCATATACATTATGTCTTGTAAATAAGTGACTCGTTTTCAAAATTACAAGTTATAATAGACCATTTAATGGGGGAAAACAGGCGCAATAACTCTCGCCTGCTATGTGTACCTTTCAGAGCTCTCTGTTTTAATGCCAACGATTTTAAAGCTGTGTACTTTTTTGTCCTGAATTCCATTGGACCGAATGGCTAAGATTTATTTTTTAAGATTTTTTTAAAGGTGGTCAGTGTTATGTAGAAGTTGTAATTAGCAGAATCTTAACCAATATTTACCATATTTTCCCATTGATTTTGTGAAATTAACTTTTTTCATTTATTCATTTTTTTAATTATTTTTTTAATTATTTTTCCCCATATTATTAACATAAAGGATTTCATCAAGGAAAATACAATGGTTAAATGAAATGCTAATGAGGAATCGTCAACCTTTCAAGTCTAGCAAAACATTATGGTCATCCTGTCCAACACTTATTAATGAATACCATGTAAGACTATTCATTTTGTGCAATTTGAATAAAACCAGTTTGTCAAATCATTTTAAACAATGTTACTATGATATTGAATTTTACGTTTCTTAGATTTCACGAGAAATCAATTCTAACTTTACCGGAATCGTCTTTATGTTTATAAATAATTTAGAAAGTGAAAATCAAAGTTCTCGAGTTACTAAGTTATTAGGCAAATGTAAATTAGATCGATTTTTGAACTGAAATAACAGTCCATTGAAATATTTCGTTGACATCAAAAATAATAATAAAATCGTATCGATTGACACATGTTAATAACAATAGGTATGATAAATAAATTTGAATAATTCTCGATAAATTTATGACATGTATATCAAACCGTATGAAACTGTTTAAATTGTCCATATATGTTAAATGCCCATTTCAAAAGAAATAAATTCACCAGATTTTTGTCTATCACCACTTTCATATAAGAGTGGGATTAAAAATTGTTTTTAATCTTACGCTATAATACAAATGTAGATCACAATAATAAACAATCAAACAAATATTTTGATATAGATTACATGTTTTTTGACGTTTGTAATAGCTTTTCTTTTTTTTTTACTGATATATTACAAATCATCGCTTATTTAGCAAATATACATGCCTTTCTAACTAGTTTTTACCCCTCCCGAATCAATACTAATGCCTATAAGGTTTAACCACCTTTAATTATTCGTTTTCGGCTCGACTTTTATCCCAGCCCGATAGGGATTTATTAAGTTAATTCAGTGTGGGAATTTAGATCACGGTATTAATGTATAAATCTATCTCTATTTGGTCCTGTATAATATATACATATACCTATCAGAAACGTGTTATCGATCTGGCTTCGAGTATTGTTGGTGTAGTCAAGGTATATTGTTGACTTTTGCCTCGTGCAAACTTTACTTTTCAATAACCTTACTGGTATTTAATGGAAAATAGAGTTGCTGGTCTGACCTAAAATTGATATTTAATCAAATTTGAAATTTAAAATACATGATTTAGGGACGTATTTTAAACTGAGGTAAGACTTTTTCATTCACTTTCTTTGTTATAAATCTTGACTGAATTTGTTTTCTTTTGGATAAAAATAAGTTGAATAATTCGCGTTTGAGTTTTATCTTTTAAGAAATCTTATCCCTTATTGATCAGCGAAAAAAAGTTTTGATTTAAATGTAATGTATCTTTTGAATAAATATTGTTTAAATACTGTTAAATCTCCATATAACGATTTTATGAAACTAACAATAAAAATCAAAATATATTTCATTCCTTTTTTGTTTTTAAATATTAAACATCAGTTTTGTCAGTGTCGTATTATATTGGCTTAATATTATAACATTTGTACATCATCATCAGCAACAACGTCATCGTCATTATCATCATTATTTCATCATCATCATCATCGTCATCGTCATCGTCGTCATCATCATCATCATCATCATCATCATCATCATCATCATCATCATTATTATTATTATTATTATTATTATTATTATTATTATTATTATCATCATCATCATCACCATCATTATAATCATCATTATCATTATCATTATTATTATTATTATTATTATCACTTTCATAATCATCATTATTATTATTATCATCATCATCATCATCATTATTATCATCATCATCATCAACATCTTCTTCATCTTCATCAGCTTCATTTAACTCTACACATAGAATGATAATGGCCAGTATTATATATAGAATGATAATGGCTGGGATGAAAGTGCATTAATAATTAATGTATTACTGATCGAGTGACTTGATAAAATATCTATGCATCTTTTATGTATAAAGTTGCCTTCACCACCAGTGACACGGCCAGACCACCGTGCACATCCTGGCCAGACCACCTTGCACATCCTGAACAGTTTGACCAAACATTATACTGTTATTTAATTAACCCTGACCACACGAAATATCTTAAATAGACTTATCCATCTTTCATTCTGGACCAAACCTTTCTAAATTCTAAGATATCTATTGGCTAAATAGCGAACAGTGCGCGCCAGGAACAGACGTCCCGAACGTGCCAGCTGATCTTGGTCTGTACTGGTCACATGAGTAGAATCTGTTGCCGTGAGCAGACTTCGGGTAAATTTATGATATAATGGCCTGGATTTAAATATCGAAATTAATTATAGTGCCAAAGCAAAGTGAGGCTATTTCACAAATTTGGCAGGGTGAACTATTTAAAATTACAGTGACATTATAATCATCCTAGTTTAGATATTTAAATTTGTGAACTTTATTTACGTTGCACGTGTATTCTCAGCATGTGGTGATGTGTGAACATAAACGCACCGAATTGAAATGTCAATCTCTTTTCACGCACTTACAAGTTCTGCATATTATATATTACATGCACCTTGGCGCGTCTAAAGTCTGTACCTCAATTTATATGACGAATTTCAAGCGGTATAAAAATTGATATCGATTGAAGAATCGATATAATATAAACTGCAAACAATCTTCCGTTTGTAGAGAGATATTGAATATACCCTAAATATTGAAGTAATAATTCATAATTTTAATCCGCTATGGAACGAGTAAACACAAATTGCTGAATTAATTTGAATGTATATAATACAAGTTCATGAATAGATAGCCCCCTTCTATACTTCTATGAAAAATATAAATATATTTGCATGATTATTTATGAATATTTTTTGTAAGTTTATCAACTGAGTTCACCGATCAGTACATATCCTTAAATAAATACAAACTGACTGTTATTGTGATGTATTTATTGTTAAAGGTTGTTGTATTTAAATTTATATTTAGTTTGACGTCATCACTTTTAATCCTTTTAATATTGGTGTTTCAATGTTCAAATTTACTTTTGAGAAAATAAATAAAACCCAAATATAGGTAGAACCTAGTTGTCCGGTACCATTTTTCTATTTTGATAAAAAGAATTTAAAGCCACTCAAAATTTAGCGAATATCAAGTTATAATAATTATTAATGTTTTATAAATAAGTATATCGATGAATTTCCTGTAATTGTCTTTAGAAATGGCGATATCTTGTTATCAGATATCAGTTACCGGACGATAAACCGGCAATGTTCTTGCAATTATCCAGAGGCTGGATGTTATCTATAGCCTTTGCAATATATTGTCGATATTAACATTCTTACTAGAAGCCAGACGATATATCGCCAATAGTACTCTTGTTTTCCAAAGGCTGGACGATAGATCGTCAATGTTCTTGTTTTGGCGATAATATTATAGCGTCACTATTTTTGTTTTGATGCATAGGTTTGACCATATATCGTAAAAATCGTTGTTTCTATCTAGAGGCTTTACGATATATCGGCAATATTCTTGTTGTTATCTAAAGGTTGGGCGATATATCATCGATAAAGTTGTTGCTATCTAGAGGCTGAACGATATATCGTCAATACTGTTGTCATTAGTTGCATGACGATGTATCGTGTATCTATATACCCATTGTTATCTAGACATTGGGCTGAATAAGTTGTTGTTGTATTCATGCCAATATTTTAACTTTAAAAATGAGATGAGTTTAGTTACGGAATACAGTATAAGCTAGCTTGTTAGTTTTGCTTTTTGCTTGTAATAGCTATTACAAGATTACAAGAATAGATTTCATCCCTGCCTTAATGTATAAACTACACATATCAAATATATCTATTTTCAGATAATGAAAACTATGTAAAGACAACCGGTTCCTGAAGACCTTGTGAACGGCAACCACTTACTGTAACAATGAGTGCCAAAAAGAAGAAGAAGGATGATAAGCCGCCGCCGGCGACGGGGCCGGGAAGTAAGATCATTTCCCTTAATGAAGCCCTGAAAAAGCATATCAAACGTATAGAAGGAAATAAAGTGCATCTGAAATTTGGTACGTGCAACATAAAGTCATTGCCGCTAGAAGTGTGGACAAACGAAGAGTTGGCTGAACTTACAATAAAACTTAACTGTGAAAACAATAGAATAAAGCGGCTACCAAAATCAGTTGCAGTGTTAGAGAATTTGGAATATATAAATTGTAGAAATAATGCGCTTGGGACGTTTCCAGGTTCTGTGTCTAGGTTGAAAAAACTGATATATCTAGACATGACAAACAACAATATCAAGAAGCTCCCACCTGCAATACACAAAGCGACGGGCCTAGCCACTTTGTATGCCTCCAACAACAAGATCCGGGCTTTGCCAAAGAATATTGGGAAAGCCCCCTCTCTCATGTACGTCGACCTGTCCCGAAATCAGATTAAAGCATTTAAGAAAGGTGTGTATGAGTTGTCCGCGACAGTTATTTTGTCACACAACAAGATCACAGACATGCCCGCAGCTACGGTAAAAAAGCCAAATATCCAAAGAATGGATCTTTCCTATAATGGTATCAGTCATATACCGGAGTCAATCGAGAAGCTACAACGGTTGACGTGGCTTGATCTTTCCCACAATTCACTAGACGACTTACCACCACAAATAGGCAAAGTTCGTTTCCTTCATTATTTCAACTTGTCTCATAACAACATCAAAACGCTACCGGAAGAGCTATGGCATCTTGGACCAGCACTCAACACGCTTCTTCTCGGACATAACGAGATGGGGGTATTGCCCGATGAAATCCAAAGTCTGAAAAAGTTAAAAGAGCTTGATATTTCCGGAAACCAGTTGCAGTACTTACCAGAGGGATTGAAGGAATGCTGTTGTCTGCAACTGTTGAATTCATCGGAGAACAAACTGAACTCTATGAAGTTTGCAGTGTTTCTCAAATCATTGGAAGTGCTTAATGTCGCAAAAAATGAAATAGATGTTATTCCAGTAGAAATAGCAACCATGAAAAATCTGGTCACACTTGATGTGTCCGATAATAAAATCAAAGTGCTCCCTGATTGTATAGGTAACATACAGACATTAAAAAAATTGCTTGTAGCTAAAAATAAACTGACTGTTCTACCGGATACTATTGGTGTTGGACAAGTTCTTACGCATTTGGATATATCAGACAACAAACTAACGTCACTTCCAACAGATTTAAGGAAATTGAGAAATCTTGAAGAATTCCTTATGGCCAACAACGACATAGCTGGCATGCCAAAGTCTATTGACTTCTTGTATCAAATTCGTCTGCTCGACATCTCAGGAAACGGCTTTACCGAACTCAATGTTCCGAAAACGCTGACAGATTTAAGACTTTCAAACAACCCGCTCACAGTCAACTACACGGACCTTCGCTCCGCCCTCGTTGTCATTGGAGATAAAGATCATCTGCGCAATCTTACGTCACTCGAACTGTGCAATCTAGGCCTCGACGAGATTCCACCCAGCGTTCACAACCTCCGCATGCTCAAACATTTAAACATCTCAAACAACAGCATTAAAACGCTCGGAGACAACATCTGCAAACTGAGAGGATTAGAATCGCTCGTCGCCGACCAGAATTTCTTGACAACGCTCCCAACCAATATAAGCGTTTTACAGAAGCTTAGCACGCTGTCCCTTTGTGACAACAACGTGGAAGCAATGTCCCCAGGCCTCCTGAATTGCATGGCTCTTGAGACACTTAAACTGTCGCATAACAAACTTAAACTGCTTCCGGAAAATTTTGGACGTTTGAACAAACTGATTACAATGGATTTGTCCAACAATGAGATACTGACCTTTCCAGCAGACAGGATTGATGTGTTAGCATCTTTAATGACATTGGACTTGAATCAGAATCACATTGATCAAATGCCTATAGATTTCCCCTATTTGTACAGATTACGAGAACTGCGCGCAGCCGGAAATGACTTAGCAGGACTTCCGGGGGAACTAGATAAATTGAAGTCCTTGGAGGTTCTAGATCTATCGGACAATATAATTGAAGTATTACCTGAGAGTATATGCAAAATTCCAAACTTAAGAGAACTAGATGTTTCAAATAACAAAATTACTCGCGGTTTTCCAAAGGCATGGGAAAATTTGCGCGCTAAAGCATCTGTAAGCATGGCGGAGCAGTCATCCGTGAAGAACCGAGAAGAACGCGATCGGCCAAAGCCTGTGGTGGCTGAAACGCAAGTAAGTCCAAAAGCAGGTAGGAAGGGCAAAGGAGGGAAGAAGGGAAAGGTCAAATCTGCGCCTCCAAACCCAATCACAAGCACGGCATAAACATTTTTCATTGCTACCGAATTAAAAAAGAAAGATTGTTATTTGCATTTATTGTTGAATTATTGTAAGAATTGTGATAGTGTATTTCTCCCAAAATATAGTAAACATTTATATACTAGAAATAACACTTATTGTTATTTGTTTCTATATTATGATTAAGTTTTTATTATTCTGCTGTATAGGTCAGTGTATCATATTTTGCATTTATCCGTCCATACCTTGGTTTAAACTTGAAACCAAAGTTCCGTCCATAATTTATTTAATAATGAAAAAAAAATCTAGCAATGAACATTTGAAACATTTGATACAAATTGAAAACAGAAAGATTGAAAATGATTAGGCTACATTTGACAGCATATACATATTAGAAATATCGAAAAAAGATGTGTTTTGTTTGCAATCCTTTATTCAATGTGATTATTTATCTACCTTGTTGTCTGTGTTTGGATATTGGAATGTTTTAAGACAAATTTTTGTTAGTCTTTAAACGCAGAAAGGTATTTATAAAAATCTAATTGCTGCAACGTATGACTATAGTGTTTTAAAGATGTATTATTCATACTTTACACTAATATCTCTTCATTTAGGTACTTTTTTATTATTTATGTTATTATATTATTGGAAAATGAGTTGTTAGGGTTATATTTGTTGAATAAACATTGATTAGATTATTATAGACATGTTTTGAATTTTATTTTGATAATACTGTCTAATATGCAAATAATTTATGTGGCGAAATTGCCGCGTGACCCGGAACTCCACATGACAACATTGATAGCATATCAGTCTCTTGCTGTTGTTTATATACAGTACTTAATATTAAATTGCTGAATTGCATAGTTTTGCCTGTAACTCCTACACTTTAGGACTATTTAATAGTTTCTTTTTAAAGTATAACCCTCCAGAGTATATCTATCCATTTGAATATTGTGACCCCTATACTTTCGATCCAGAATTTATAGTTTTACGTATGTACCCGTATATGCAAAACACAAGAAGTAGAAAGTCATTTATATTCTTAGTTACTGTCTGTCAGAAAGGCGTGCGTATATGTTCTGACAATGAGATGAATGAATAGTAATTATTTCAATCCCCCTCATGATTTTTTTTAATTATGATGGAATACAATATTGTGTACCACGATCTTTACCCATATATTGTTCGTCTGTCAGTCTACATCTCATCTATATCATAACTGAAAGGCGAAGATTTTTATTCTTTAATTTTACAAATCTTTCACATTTTACCCTTTCAGAGATGCAACCGAAATAAAATCAGAATCTCAGAAAAGAATGAAACACTTATAATAACTTGTACAAATATAATGGCCAATATGTTTGAATGTCTAAAACGCTTCTTTTTGTAATATTTGAACTATGGAGAAAAATAACAAGCCTTTACAAGCATAGTTTTGCAACCCCTGTATAGCATATCTCCTATTGTCATATCTCCATATTTTGTCAGAAAATTATGAAAAGTAAACTACATTTGTATACAAATAATTCTATAAAATTTATCCTGTGCGTCACACATATGATTGGAAACATGGCCGCAGTAATGCTGAACAGAACTTGTTCCAGCGTTTTCATACTTTGAGTATCTGAAAATCATCTGGCTAGAACCAGATTATCAATCATTTAGAGTCATCCGAATCCAGGACAACTTAACATGAAATGCAAGAACATTTCCTTTTGTCCGACCATCTGTTTCAATTATTAGCTGCCGAAAGTCATGTCCATGTGGTACCCCGATTTATTGCAATTCTTCTATACTGAGTTACTCGACCAAATTGTAAAAAGTTGCTATAATTTATCCTTGACGAATAGTAAAACTAGGACATGTGGAAATATTGGTGCTGATACTTGAAAAAGAAGCGGCAAAGAGGGGCTGAAGATATGGCGGCTAAAAAATTCCATACAATGTTAATGTTACATAAATAGCTCAGCCCAAAAATCTGTTTATATGGAATGGCAGACAAAGAAGGTGGGATATTGAAAAGAAAATTAAGATAATTGTATGGATTTAAGCAACACGTACGTGCAGTTTAAATGTCAAGGTTGTCGACTTAAACAACCAGATATAGTTTATGATTTCGACTTAAAGATTGTAGCTATTTTTTTAACTTTGTTATTATTTTCTTAATTTCTGTTTTGTTTTGTTTTTACCTTCATTTAAAATGAGTGCACCATATTCCAATAATAACAAGATAAAATAAAAAGAATCCCTAAAGAACGCCCAAAACGACAAAATTGAAAATGTTGAAAGCTCGGTTTGATTGAGTCTGTTCATGAATGGAACTCGAAAATGCAACTTACCGTCCACGCCCACTAGTACCAACATAAGCAAAATTCAACATTTGAACGTGAAAATGGTGAAAATTTGAATTTAGAAACATCAGCAGGTGTGTTCATACGGCAGTTATCATGAAACCTTCAATGTGACACTTCCTTGCTATTCCATGATAAGTGGCGTATGGTCATCAAGTAAAAAAATGCGCTAGATGAGGAAAACATATTTAGGCCACATCAATGCAACCTACAGAGAGACGAATCAGCTATACAGTTCGTATAATACAGAGAAACCCTAGACAGGATAATACAATTTTAAAAAAGTGCCTTCAAGATATTATTAAATAAGTAAACCAGATGATAATTGGTACATTAAACATTGTTAAAAACAATAACTCTGTCATAACCTTCAGATGATATTTTTCCCATTCTATCATTTCATGTTTTTGAAATTTTGACCTTATGTTTTTTTTTTTGGAACGTTCCAATATTGTTCTAATAATACCTGATTTTTCAAATGTGCTAAAAACATTATCAAGATTCCATTATCAAACATTTTACCAACCATAACATCCTTTACCACCATCAACATGGTTTCAGAGAAAAGTGGTCATATGTTACACAACTTGTTGACCTGTTGATTAAAGACACACATATACACGCAGAGACAAATACACATGCATACACACACACGCACGCACCAACACGCGTACGCACACACACGCGCACGCACGCACACACACACATAAGTTCAAACACGCATGCACACGCGCATACACACAAAACACATACTTGCACGCATGTATGCATGGATGCTGGGGGCTTTTGTTTTTGATGGGGGCTTTTGTCCTACATGTAAATTTCATGGGGGGGGGGGCTTTTGTCCACCTTGTCATTTTTAGGTGGGGGGACTTTCATCCGTGGGGGGGGGAGGCTTTTGTCCTACAATCGCATGTGATATCCCAATAATTGATCAATTATCACCTGCATATATTGTCTAACTCGACGCGGTTATTAATAATATCATAAAAAATCTAAATTGATTAACCGCATTAATATATGTCTAGGTTTATAATGATATTAAAGTGACATTATGCTCATTTTTTCATTGTCAAATTGAATTTAATTAACTTTATATTTCAATAAACTGGTCGTTGTAATGGTGAATGACCAACCCATGATATTTGAAAATGTGTAGGATAAAAAATAAATCTACCTAAATATATAAAGACTGTCCCACTCTTTTTATAAATTGAAAGTTACAGATACATTCAGACGGATAATTACACACACAAAAGCAAAGAGACATCAATATTTAAATATTATTATTTCATTAAAGCGCGGTCCGCCTCGTCTCGAGTCACGGTCCGCCCTGTCCCAAAATACGGTCCGCCCCATCCAAACACACGATCCGCCTTGGTACGGTCCGCCCTGTCTCACGGTCCACCCTGTCCGTAATTCTGATCACCACAGTCTATAATAAAAAGCAAGTATCCTCTTAGAATTCAACTGTTGAGGCTTTCGATAAGGTCAATCATAAGAAAGTACCGCTGAAAATACAATACCTTGGAATCAGAGGTCATGAAAACTTTAAAATAGTTCAATAGTTTTCTAGATAACAGATTGCTGTTAGTTGTGCTTAATAGCAGCAGCCCAAACCCGAGTCCCCAAGACCCTGTTCTAGGACCCTCGTGTCTCGCTTATATAAATGACCTCCAACAAAACACACATTCCCAGGCCCGCATACATTCCCACGCCGCTTGTTTGCAGACGATAAGTACACACAGGGTTTTTCAAATACAAAGATTTATCTATTTGATAGACCCTGGTCTGTTGCTTACCAGACGTAAGTCAGAACCCAGCTTGAATATGGTTCCGAAGCATGGTCCCCAAGATACAAGATACAAGAAAAGTTATTTTACGTCGGATACATATAAACAGAAAACATTAGCTCATGAGCTATTTTCCGACAAACAATAGTATATTAACTAAACAAAAGTAAAGCAGCTATAAAAGAAAATATAAGCATAAGCACTTTAAGTACATAGAAAGCAACTAAAAATTATAAGCATAAGCACATCTAAATACATGGATTGAAGTTATTATAGCACCATGCATGCTTAAAAATTACAATAATTACAAGCAAGATAAAACAAATAACAGATATAATTATATAAATAATGTACATTCCTGTAAAAGAGTTATATATAAGTTAAAGACAGACATGTATAACAATAAGCATAAGCACATCTAAGAATATGAATTAAGAAAATAAAATTTAAAATAAGTTAAAAACTACAAAAGTTACAAGAAAAAGAATACAAAAATAAGATATACATATACACCTATGTACATACCTGTAAAAGAAATATAATAGATATATTAAAAAGACATATATAAAAAAAACAAGGAAATTACAAGGACTATCACATAATGCACATAAAAGCACATATAAAACATGTTAATCACATACAAACACATGTTAGACACACATGTGTTTAACAAAAGGCTACAAGCGACACATTGAGCACTTACATTTTGGGCCTGTCCAGGTGCCAACCAGCCTCCCAAATTCTTTGAAGTTTTCTACTCTTCTGATGTCACTAGGGAGGCTGTTCCACACAAAACCCTCAAAACGGAAGGAGTTCTGACCATACCTGGTGGTTCGAACTGTAGGCACTTCTAGAATATGATCATACCTGCAATTGTAAACAGAGGTCTTAAATTTGGCCAAGTTTTGAATATATTTAGGTGATATATTGTGTAAGCACTTGAAAGTCTCGATTGCAATTGTTTTTAACCTGCTTAAATGGAGTGTGGGTAATTTAACCTTATTAAGGAGACCTTCATATGATGATGTAAAATCATTGAAAACAATGCGTAAGGCCCTGTACTGGAGTTTTTCAAGTTTGTTTGTGTTGGCTTTACTACAGAAGTGCCACACTATGGGACAGTAATTGAAATTGGACCTGATAAAAGATTTGAATATGATAAGCCTGGTAGGTACAGAGAGGAATTTACTTAATCTTTGCAGGACATTTAACTGTTTTGCAGCTTTTTGGCAAATGGCTGATACCTGGGCATCAAAATTTAATTGATAGTCAATATCTACTCCTAGTAATTTGACCTGTTCATCACATGGGATAGTGCTGCCGCTTATATCAAATGACTTAATTTCAGTATGTGACTTGACCCCCACTGAGATAGCTTGAAACTTTTCAGGGTTTGCCTGCATTTGATTAGATTTAAACCAATCTATGAGGATATTACTTTCATCCTCAAGGGTAGATTTGACAACTGTAGCATTTTTATGCCAGAAGGACAAAGTGTTATCATCAGCATAATTATAAAGGGTGGATTTTTCTATGAAGTAAAATATATCATTAAT